ATCATTCTCAGTACAAATGTTATGAGATATTATCTGAATCCTTCCAATTGGAAACTGTTTGTGAAAGGATATATCTTGAAGATACGTTTGATTGATTCAATTTCATTTGACAACCCTTTATTTTTTTGGCCAATTCATATCACATGTGTGATATTCAAAATTTATTATTATACTATGTGATTAACCAGTCTTATTTCCAGGACTGTAACACTTTTATTCCAGCCCAGCATGAACCAAGTGATGGCCTTCAACCTAATGAACATTGTACACTATGCTATATAAAAGTAATCTGAACTGATGAACACTATCATGATTGCTGTTCGATTAAAGTGACTTATTTGGTGTACCCAATGAAGCAACGATATTGGGAGCCACTCTTAATATTGACATTGAGAATTAAAGCTTATGAACAGAGACATGTACCCTATACTTATAAGAATTGATTCAGCAGCTTTGTGATGACTCTGCATTTTGAGGAAGGACACAAAGAATGGCTGACAATCTCAATTTTATATTGTACTAGAGACCATGCCAATACTAAACATATTCTCCTATTATAGTGGGAAGCCAGTGACAATGACTGTATCATCAATGAATGTGATGGTAAGAACGTTTGATAAACTTATACAAACAGCATGGATATTACTTCAAACCTTCACAAGAACCATGACCTACAAGAGAAAGAAGAAAGACACTGATGCTGCTAGAGACATTTTTTGTAATTAAATGTGATTGTTTATTAGATTATGCTAGCCTTTTTATGTTATGTATTTCAGGTGAGAAATCAAGAAAAGTGTAAACTAGCATTGTATTTGATTTAGACTTATGTTTCTTAAGTAGTAAACTGATTATACATTAAAACCTTATTGTGTATATATGTTTATCAATTCCTTTACTAAGTACTATGTTGTAGTAAATGATGTGTGAAATGCTTACTTTAGGTAATGTGTTTATATATGATTTGCATCTTTTATCAATAATTTCATAGTTCGAGGACGAACTGTTTTTAAAGGGGGAGCAGTGTGACGATCCTTCAGATTACTTTGAGCATGGTAATGGAGTTGCCTTGAAGGATTGTCACTTTGTTTAACTTTTTGCTCTTCACTTTATCAATTGTTATTTTTAGTTACTCAATATTTCAAGAGTGATACAATAATTTAAATTCTGTAAAAGGGTAGCCAGTATTAATACTTTGGCTATACTCTTAAAGTATGGTTAGAGTTTAATCATTTACTCTATATTTATATTTAGGGTAATAACATTCTCTTGTGTTTTTCATGTAATATTATTTACAGGATTAATGTCAACATATATATATTTTGTTCATAATAAGAGTTTAATGTGAAGGTTTTCGGCCCAGTTTCATGTTTAATGTTATGTTACAAACTTTTTAGAAAGGGCAGTTGTCTGGGTTTGTTTTCAAAATCCAAAGTGAGGCTTATTAAGCTTGATTTAAGTAAATAAGCACGTTTTAAGTGAATTGTCTTTTTCTGTGCTTTTATGATTCGAATTCAAGCCGGCCAGACATGGAAAACATTTTGTGGAATTTTAAACATTAAATCGTCACTAAAATTGGATATTTATATTGCCGCAGATAAACCAACTTAGGTGTACGAGTTGGTAAAGGTAATTGACTTGATTTAAGTTGTATTTTTGCAGAGTTTTAGTCTTTGAAAAGAAGTATCTGTACACTTGACTTTTTCCTTAATTTTATTTATTTGCCTTGTGAACATCCCATGTTTAAATTGTCCCAGGGATTGTTAAGGAACATTTGACAAGGTTAACGCAAGGTTACACGCAGAGTTTTTGTCTTAAAGAACCTATGTAACTTTTTAACCAGCGTCGAAAGCAAGTTCCCTGGGTTCGTTGAAACCTTTTATACAACATCCCCACAGGGAATCGTTTAGGAATATTTGACAAGGTGTACGAAGAGTTACGGTCTTTATGAACCTATGTAACTTGCTCTAAACAAGAGTCAACTGCAAATTCCTGGGGTTCATAGACACCTCTATACGACATCCCCCCCCCCCCCCATCCAGTTTGGAACTGTATTTAGTTTGTTCACAGGGTAAATTTTATTGATACACTAGAAATACTCCTTTGTATATTTGTATATTAAATTCTGGGTAATTTAAAGGTGAAATCCCGGGCTTATGGGACCATTATCAAACAACTGATCATTGAAGTACTTTTAAGGGTCATGGTCATTCGAACCCCATTTTCGGACTTAAGACACCCCCTCCCCTTCTAGTTTTCCATGTCTGGTCTAATTCTATGTTAACCACATTCTAATTCATTATAGATACTAGAATACTTTTAAAATACTGTTTCCCATTTGTTTGCCAATTGTACCATAGTCTGATAGTGGCAAAATGATGTTCCACTTTTCATGTGAGTAGTATAGAGAGCTGATTTCAACCCCACCAGGGATTATATAAAATTGCACTGTTGAGTTACATTTTTGGGAAAAGACACATTTTAGGCTTTGTTGCAAATTGTTTAACTGAACTTCCATTAGCTGTGCTGTTTTATGCATGTTTGGTTTGAGAGATTATTTACTTGATATACCATCTCGGCAGTACTGAATTGTGTAATGTTTGTGTAGATTAGTACATAGAAATAGAGTCGTTTTTATACATTATATAAAAATCCACAGAATATCACTTCTTGTGTTCAATTGTTTATATATATGTTAGAAATCCCCCCTCATTTTATCTAAAGTAGATTCTGGATTCAAAATAGATTCCGACTAAATTCCAGGTGACTTAAGTGATACTAACATTCAAGCAACAAGCTTTATCTTAGCTCATATTTGCTAAGGGCTTCTTTGAATAACAATCACTCACAATAAGTCATACATATATTTTCCCAGAAACTATGCAATAGTGCAAAGCTAAAGTACAATCCAGGATCTTACTTTCTTATTTAACCTTTATCTTATTGAGAATATTAGTGCGAATTTCATTCACCCTGGTTCCCAGTCGTTACCTCAAACATCATTTACTTCCAATGTTTTCTTACTTGCTTGTTTAAATGGTGTACAAGTAATATTATCCCCTGATGAGTTTGACAGACTCTTGATTTGAAATAGCCCTACGTTAATTCTTACAAAATCTCCCATTTTAAGTGTGAACAGTGAGCTTTATATACAGCTCGAAGTCCATTGTAGCCCCCAGTGGCTAAGACTTCCACCTGGTTATACTCACACCCTAACATTATACTTATTTGATACAACTGAACACTGGGCACATTAAGAATCTGGAGTCTGTTGCCATTTGCCTTTATGAGACATACAACTTACATTGAAAACTGACAAATCTTACTTAGTCTATATTCAGATTTTGTTATCCCGTAATTGTTATCCCAAAATTGTCCCACTTCATCCCAATTATTTTTTTATCCCTAAATTTATCCCTAAATTTTCATCGCAAAATTTATCCCAATTTGATCCCATTTTGTTATGATACTGTAAACACGGATGTTGTTCAAATAAATAGGGATACATATTTCAACTTTTACTTGAACTTGTCCCGAAACTAAGTTAATGAAAACATCAAATCAAACTATTGATTCTTAGACTGTATTCTGATTACGACCCCCAAACCACGCTACCACACGAGGGTCGTGACATATTGGCGTTTTTGCATCAGCACATTGGTGTTGTTGCATCATTGATGATAAACAGAGTGGTGTTGTTGCATCAATAGTGAGGAATTAAAACGGCGAATTTCTCGCTTCTTGATGATGCTACATGCATACTAATGAGAGTTTTTTTAAATATAGATCATGGGCTAACTGCACATTAGGGGTGAGACGACAACCCGATGAGTCGAGGACTCGCGGGTTTGGGGCTTCGAGTCGAATCGAATCGAGTCGAAGTTGATGAATCGAATCATTTTCGAGTTGAGAAAAAAATTCGAAAAAATAAAAAAATTCAGAAAAATACTGTCAATATGCATGTTTTTACTCGATATTGCGTTGAATATATAAGTTTCAATGACTTGGATATGCTTGTATTAAATTATTATATTGTATGTACACATAAATGAAAGAATATATGTAATAAAATCAGAATAAACTTACGACGAATTGTGTTTGTTTATATTTCCGGCTTTCCACCATTGACGCATTAAAAATACGAACGGTCAAAAGCGATGTTGTTCGCACTTCGCGCGACTCGAAACGGATTCGAAACTCGAATTGTCATTTTCTGACTCGAATCGTATTCGACTCGAATCGGATTTTTTCGACTTGTCTCACCCCTACTGCACATGTATGATTATTGAGTAACTCGTCCTAGAAATGGGTTTAAATTGGGAAAACAAAATATCGTACGAAAATCTATCACCGGAAGTCTGGCCATCTTGATGCAACAACACGGTGTTGTTGCATCACGATACCCCCCAGTGAATATCATATGACAAGTATTTGTTCCTATGTCAAAAACTATTTCAAATATTTACTTTTAAGTTGTAACAATTATCTACTTCAGAAAGGAGCATATGTTTCAAAAACTGTTTCAAATATTTACTTTTAAGTTGTAACAATTATCTACTTCAGAAGGGAGCATGTTTCTTATTACAACATTTGCAATATTTGAGTGTGTAGTCTTTGCAAAATTTATTTCTTTAGATCAGGAAGAATAACCAGATATTTTCCAATGAACTAGTGATTAGTTCTTTCAGTTTCAGTTTCGATTTTGGTTAATTTACTTGTTTGAATTCTGGAAGTTATGGAAATCAATTTGCTAGCTATCTTATATTGTCAAATATTTCATTATATTGTTAAATGACTTTTCGTAAGTCTTGAATAATTATTAAGTTGTACTCCCCACTGACCACTTTTCAAGTGAATTTCTGCCAACTTTTTCAAATTTGACCCTCTTGGAAATTTTAAAAATTTAAACCCCTGCCCCTCCCTTGGCAAAAGCTGGCTGTTGGTCTGCTAGCACCACTGAAGTTAGGCTGTGTCGCTAATTTGAGCCGTGTTTGTGTTTGCAGGGACAGCGATTGGTGGATGGCACGTCACATGGTGTCCAATCAGACTGGATACATTCCTAGTAACTATGTGGCAGTAGAAGATACATTGGAGACATACGAGTGAGTAGATCCCCTAGATTTCTTACACTGCATCCTTACACTTTGGCTGTACACTGCATCCTTACACTTTGACTGTGCACTGCATCCTTACACTTTGGCTGTACACTGCATCCTTACACTTTGACTGTACACTGCATCCTTACACTTTGGCTGTACACTGCATCCTTACACTTTGGCTGTACACTACATCCTTACACTTTGACTGTTCACTGCATCCTTACACTTTGGCTGTACACTGCATCCTTACACTTTGACTGTACACTGTATCCTTACACTTTGGCTGTACACTGCATCCTTACACTTTGACTGTACACTGCATCCTTACACTTTGGCTGTACACTGCATCCTTACACTTTGGCTGTACACTGCATCCTTACACTTTGGCTGTACACTGCATCTTACACTTTGACTGTACACTACATCCTTACACTGTGACTGTTTGCTGCATCTACATTGTATTTAAAAATGGTTGAACAAGAGGTTAAATGCTGTTTACGGACAAATACATGTAGATGGCAGTGCAGTTTTGGTCAGGCAAGATAACATTACATAATTCACAAAAACTGACAATGGTCATATTCTTTTTTCACATACCTATTTCCAGATCGATCAGATGTTTGATAATGTTAAAAGATCATCACCCTAATAACTTTAATATTATCATATAGACCAACATGAATTTGGAACCATTGCTTTAATATTATCATATAGACCAACATGAATTTGAAACCATTGCTTTAGGAACTGCTGACATTACAGTTATGAAGACATTGATATCCTGCACATTATATTTTGTACTCTGAATACATAGTTGATGTCATTAATGTGATGGCATTTATCACTGCTCCCAGGATCTGTGTTTGCAGAGCACGGGTGGAATTTGCCTTTGCCCGCGGAATTGCTGAATCCAATATTTTGGTCAATCTCCATGAATTTCTCTGCGGAAGCGATATATTTTCCAAACGTTTAAATAGTCAGTGTTACCTGTAACAAATTGACACATTTTCAGTCAAATCCCCTGTACAAATAACCCAAAAATGACCAATTATGCAAAGTGAAAATTTAAACTTCATCATGTGATTTCTGTTGCTAGATGACAGCTTGTATTAAGTAGTGACGTAGTGACTGTCTGCGTAACTATCACAAAATTTCCCATTTTTTATATCTACCACGATAATTTCTGTGGAATTTCTGCAGAAGTAGCCTCCCCCCTTGCAGAATTCACTTATTTCACATGCAGAATTAAGCATTTTAACTTGCAGAAAACTGGGGGAGTGATTTATACGACGGCATTTATGTGATGGCATTTATATGATGGCATTTATGTGATCGCATTTAGATAATTGCATTTATGTGATTCAATTCTAGCTGGTACCTTGGGGCAGTGAAGAGAAAAGAGGCAGAGAAGTTGCTTTTGGAAGGACGGAACAAACCTGGCACATTCCTTATAAGGGAAAGTGAGACTTCTAAGGGTAAGTACAATAGAAGTGGATCTTGATTTCTGTACAATCATGCACTGTGCTTGTTGCGTGTTGATAATATAGTTTCATAGTTTAAGTTCTGTGGTATAATAGCCATGATTGTGTTCTTAATCTATTCCTAATAGATGTTAGCAAGTTGACCTGATGGGTTTCTAGGTAATTTAATTATTTTTTTGCAGCAATTGGATATGGACCAAAAAGACATGTTTTGGACAAACATATTCCACAAGTGTGATTCCAGTGAAATTGGACAGAGCAAAATGATTTTAAGAGTAATGTATAAGATAACTACTATGAATTAAACCAATATTAAATTTTTTCAGGTGCATTTTCAATCAGTGTGTTGGATTTCAATGATGCGACAAATGAGAGGAATGTGAAACATTACAAAATCCGAAACCTCGATGAAGGAGGCTTTTTTATTGCTGCAAGGTTTAAGTGCAGAACTCTCACGGAACTAGTGGAGCACTACTCAAGTAAGATTTATTTCAATTAAGTAGTTCATATTACTAGAAGTTTCACTTGTCATATTCATAATCATAATTTTTTTTGTTTATTTCAGTCATGCTTCTCTACACTGTTTCATTCTAGTATGAAATCTTTTAGATAAACCTTGTCATCGCAATTCCACGAAAACCACTTAACGGATTTACAATTATGGATGTAAAATTATATAAAAACTATGTTCACCAATTATGCTACTGGAAGTGACCTGTTTTATTTCAGTCTTAGGTTTGTCTTACAATGATCTTATTTATTTTATTTGTCATACAGCTGCCAGTGATGGTCTCTGTCAAAAGTTGACAGTGGCCTGCCCCAAGCCGAAGCCAGTGATGAGTGACCTTTCCAGGGAAACCAAGGACCAATGGGAGATTCCCAGGGACTCGTTGGAACTTATGGAGAAACTTGGCGCTGGTCAATTTGGAGAAGTCTGGAAAGGTAGAGTTGGTTTATCCAAACACCTCTCTAATTAGAACAACCTTTTTCTGATGTTAAAGAGGCTCTATGCCATAGGATAGCACAATCAAGACCCCTCTGGACTTTTTTGCATATTGAGTTTCACCACATATTCACCCATCTACTTACCAAAGATGAAGTCCCAAATCCCCCTCTTCCAGTGTTAATTTTGCGATTGTGCTGGCCGATCTAATTATTTTTGCAGAAATTAATTCAATTTGAAGTTTGAATATACCGGGTAAGTCCTCCTGTTATCTGATTGGTCGTTGAATTCGTTTATCGTGAACCTGATTGACTGCTTGGTTCAGGGCGCTTGTGTGACTCAATGGGGATTCCCCTCGCTAGCCACGGAATCGATTTTGTTTAATTCTGGAGGTTGGTTGTTCTGTTGATTATTTCATTATTTTGGCAATAATATACCCAAAGGTTATTCTCAAGATTTATTCATGGTATGTGAGATATTATATGAGCAATAACAATAGGACATCATTGATTGTCTGGGGAAAAACCTATGGTATAATGCGTCTCTAATGATATTATTTTGTATGTAAGTCTCTATCTATACCTACTGTGGAATAAATTAATTCAAAATCAACAAAATCTTTTTTAATTTTCCAGGTTGCTACAACAAAACTACTGATGTGGCAATCAAAACCCTGAAGCCCGGAACAATGACACCAGAGGCATTCTTACTAGAAGCCCAAATCATGAAGAACTGTCAACATGAGAAGCTGGTGAAGCTCTATGCAGTGTGTACGCAAGAGGAACCCATATATATTGTCACTGAGTTAATGAGTGAAGGGAGTTTGTTGAGCTATCTGAGAGAGGGGGCTGGGAGAAGAGCCAAATTACCAGAAATGGTTGATATGGCGGCCCAGGTTAGAATATTGGCATTTATTAAGATTAATATCTGTATATTTCATTTTTCGATCAAAATGATCTGTAAACTTTTTGAGAGGTATATGATAAAGGAAATATATTTAACTGTAAAATTTTGATGATTGAAATAAATGCAAATTGATATACTATACTACTGTTTCAGGTTGCCAGTGGAATGGAATATATTGAGCAGCAGAAGTATGTCCACAGAGACCTGGCAGCTAGAAATATACTTGTGGGGGAAAATAGGATATGTAAAGTTGCTGACTTTGGTCTTGCTAGATTGATAGAAGACGATGAATACCAGGCCCAGAGAGGTTAGTGGCATCATATCTGGATTCTTTCGAAAATTTCCAGGGCATATTTTAATAAAACTGGTTATTTTTATTTCATTTAGGTTTTTTCTCATTATTAATCAGTGTTTCAAATAATCTTAGATTAAACCCCTCCAAACTCACCAAATTAATCAGAACTGTTGATTTTTAAGAGTAGTTCTCTAGGACTCTCTGATTCGTTAAATGTCATACTGTAAAATGTCCAGCCCTGATCAGAGACTAGTGTCCTTGCTAAAGAACTCCATAGGGTAAGAAATATTCAATTCTAATTTTGATGATTCTTGTATTACAGGTGCAAAGTTCCCTATCAAATGGACGGCCCCTGAGGCTGCGAACTATGGTAAATTCACAATCAAGTCTGATATATGGTCCTATGGGATCTTGCTAATTGAAATAACCACCCATGGACAAATACCATATCCAGGTTAGTTCCAGTTACAATATATAACATTTATCACATCCTCAAGTGTTGCATGTATATCATTGAAATATATATATTTATCCGATGGATACTAAATATATTCGGGGATGACGACACAAGATAATTTTGGTATGCGCCACTAAAATCGTATCTGACTCATATGATGTCTTAAAAAAAGTATCTGTCGGATACGATTTTTCCATTTGTTTTGAACTTGGCGCCAAACAACCACGTGTCTGTTTGATCTGCAACAATATACAGTTCCAAGTATGTGCTCAAAAAAAGTTTTTCATGCAATCATTTTGTAAAACTAAGTTCACTGATAATAGAATGAAAGAAATAGATAAGATATAGAAAACAACAACTTTTAGTTCAAATTATTTTAAGTCCATATAAAAATAGCTGCCATAGGATAAATATGATATCCTATGATTTTCTCGGGCTATCATTTTTATCCACTCTTGGTTACGCCGATCTCCACTTATTCGCTGCGCTCACTCGTGGAGATGGGCGATATCCACTCATGGATAAAAATGGTATTCCTCAAAAATCATAGGATATCCTCTATATATACATATCTAAAGAATAACAAATACAGCACATTACAACTTGAATGCTCAATTTACCAACATGGGTCATATTTAAATAATACATAATACCCCCTTTTCAGTTTACAATCTCTCTTTAAGAGAAGAACTTTATAATGGCCTCCAAGTTCAAAACGGTCATCATATTTGGTGAAAAATATGAATTTTTTGCTTGAATTGATTTGTATATATTGAAATAATTTCTGCTTCATACACAATACACTGCACCTGACAGCCCAGGTGGAAATGGCATGCTCAGTCTAAATGGCACAGTAATTGAGTAATTTAAACCTTCTAATTACAATCATTGGAAGGAATTGCATTTGATTATTTTACTTAGTTAAGTAAATGGGAGGAAATAGAAATAGAACAAGCAGTTGACTATTTAACTTTATTCAAGTAATTAGAAGGAAGTAAAAATAGATATACTGTAACATTGTTGTATATATAAGTATCATATTTTCATTTCCTGGTCAAAGTCATCTAAAATGTCAAAACAACGGTCTCTTTTTGAGAGAGGGATGAAACAATGGCTTGGTGCAAGTTTATATTTCCACAGTAGGGTTGGCATAATGATGTAATAGTGGTATTCAAATATTTTGCGACTTGAATTTTAGTTTTCTCTTGCAAGATTACATGCATGTGTCAAAATCACAGAAGTCAAAAACCAGCAAAATCGCTCCCTCATTCAAACAGGAATACAACTTATTGTTGAAATATTTCACTGTGGATCTTCATAGCTTCATGGCTCAAATGGGCAATTTTCTATTTTGGCCCTTTCTTTCACAGCAGCAAAAGTACAGTGTATCTTAAAACAGCAGCATGTCCTTTACATCATTAATTGATATATAGACCAACCATGTTTTCATTATCCAATATATGGTCATCATCTCACATATGGTCATCATCCTTTATCTCCTTATTTGTAGGTATGAATAACCGAGAAGTATTAGAACAAATTGATCGTGGCTACAGGGCCCCTCGTCCCAAACTCTGCCCTGAAAGTATGTATGAAACGATGCTACAATGTTGGGAGGAAGATGCAAACAAAAGACCAACATTTGAATACTTAAATGCCTTCTTTGAAGACTATTTCATCGCAACTGAACCAAGCTATAAAGAAACAGATGATATTTAGAGCATAAATGATATGTATGCTATGCCACGTTTTACCAGCAGGAATTATGAACCATTGTGAAATGTGAGTTGTTTACACTTTTTCCTGTTGTGGTTTGCAAGAGGAACTTAGAAACATATGTCACACAAGTCGCATGCTACTGTGGGAGTTAACCTGAAGTGACTTGTCTGGAAAAATCAAATGGATCACGTGGATGTACATTAATGCTATAAAGTGTCGTAGAAATATTTTTTGTTAGATAATTGAATGATATGGACTCCCTCAGCAGGACCTGTCTATTGGACAAATGAGCAGTTGTTTTAGAGGTGTTCATCTTTTAGAGGTGTTCATCTTTGAGAGATGTTCTACTTTTAGAGGTGTTCATCTTTTAGAGGTGTTCATCTTTGAGAGATTACTTTTAGAGCTGTTCTACTTTTAGAGGTGTCCATCTTTTAGAGGTGTTCATCTTTTAGAGATGTTCTACTTTAAGAGGTGTTCATCTTTTAGAGGTGTTCTTCTTTGGACGTGTTTTACATGGTTTACTAAGTTCCCTTATTTTTCTAGTGTTTTATAAGTTATCAGATTATATGTAAGATAATCCACTTAAGCAATACAAAATATTACTGGGGAATCAGTATTAATTTATCCCACACTAATAATGATATGATATGAACAATTATTATATGATTGCTAGATATTGTGTGATTTGATTGGTTGGTTCAGTACCATGTGATCAAAAGTACTATTGCGTATTTCACAGTTCCCTCAATTTTTGGATTTCAAAAGACGTATTGGCCGGCGTATCGCCTGCCTTGGAATTCTGACAACTGCACTGGATGAAAATAGAAGTGCACCTGACAGTGATACTTGTATGTAATAATGTTAACTTATGGGTTGATGATATATTTATTGATTAAAATAAATGTTCACAGGTTACAACAAATATTCTATATTTCTTTGAAAATTCAAATTGGGCGTAGAGAATATCTAGCAATGATATAAAAAAGCAAATTCATTCTATGTTCAGGCAATACTGGTTGCACTTTTAATGCTTTTGCAGTATGTATTGCTCACAGCCTGTAGTTTATTATTCAGAACTTTTTAAACTATGCATTGTAGATAGTTCCCACTCACTACTGTAGCATTAAAAAAGCATATTCAACATATTTTATAATGTATTGTATTTACACTGTCTCAATAGTACAAGCTACATGTAATCAAAATGTATATGAATATTGTTTAATCCAGAAACAGGAATGTATATTAAGAATATTAAATGTCCTCATGAAAACCACTGCTGAAATGCGCATGGATGCACATGTAAGTTTTGAGAAGAATTGGTTTGAATCATCTTCCATGATATATTGTTTTCATATTCTTATGTAATCTGAAATGTTTCTATTGCTGGCCAATATGACACCCGAGTCAGTATTGTTTTTCTGCTGAGTGTAGTTATTAGGTACATAGAGGATCGACTGAGGTCATGTAAATACTAGAATAGTAGATTTTATAAGTAACAAATAAAGATGATAATTTCCCTTGCCACTTTGTATTGCTTTGAAAAGTACTGTAGATTTATCATTGTGTATGTATAGTATATGTATTGTAAATGTATGTGTACATTGTACATGAATGTACAATTGTTATATTCACCAAGTTGATGAAAGTGATCTTTTAAATCCACTTAAAATGTTGGAAAATATCCAGCTATATGTGCTTTAATAAGAAACTATGCACGTGCTCTTACTGCACTGGAGCAAGTTTATTTCATGTATGTGTGAGACATTTGACTGGAAGCACAAGCCATATTTATTTTATATGCATACATTGTCTAATCTGTTTTATAACTTATATTATAAATACAATTCATATTGAGGGCTATGAATAACATAAGATTTCCACCTACATACTGAATTACTATGTATAAAAGCATTGTATTACTTATCGATCAACCCTCATGTTTGCAAGCATTACATGTATGTGTAACCAAATCAAAAATGTAGCAATTGGAAAAATAATTTTGGCACAAGCAATACAAGAACATTTAGAAATGCACTGCCAGTATTAAATCTTTACATGCATATAAGATGTGAAGAACTTGTCTCTTAAAATCAAAAGAGTTATCTCTAAGAGAAAAATATAGTATGCAATAAATACTAATGATATTGTATTATTTGTAAAGAAAGAAACATTTTGTAAGAACTGTTCACTACACGTTGTAGATGTTCACTACACTGCAGGTACTCCCCTCTTACTGTGGGTTCTCATGTCCCTACACACTCTAGGTGTTCACTACATACTCTAGGTGTTCACTACACACTCTAGGTGTCCACTACACAATGTAGGAGCTCACTATACATTGTATGTTACTACATATTGTATGTGTATGTTGATCACTTAAGAGCCATGTTCACTTACTTCTGACATAATCCTTCACATGATGAGCTGCAGTTTGTGCTATGTATCATTAGAAAGCTGTTGTGCAGTTTGTGCTATGTATCATTAGAAAGCTGTTGTGCAGTTTGTGCTATGTATCATTAGAAAGCTGTTGTGCAGTTTGTACTATGTATCATTAGAAATCTGTTGTGCAGTTTGTGCTATGTATCATTAGAAAGCTGTTGTGGTGAAGCATATGAAACTGGTAATTGTCAAAATTCGAGGTAAAATGTAATATTTGAGTTTGCATTTAGTCTGAGAGAATTATAACATGTATAGCAAAGTTGGTGAGGCAAAACATGCATTTGGATGAGCTTGAGTGCTTGTATTATTGAGGCCTCGGAATGGTCGCAAGATACCCGATTGAGAACTGAAAGCCTATTATTGTTAATTCACATTTAGTGTCTCTAATTCCATTTCATATAACTGCATTCATGCATTGCACTTTACTTCTCTAATGCACCCAAGGTCATATTTAGATTCTATTGAAACTAATGAAACAGATTAGCTGATCACTTTAATAGTTGAGTAAAAATCTACAAAGAATATTGTAGGGAATAACACGCTTATTCAGGTCAAATGGTGAGTGTTGAATGGTTGTCAAGGTGACAAGGTGACAAATGGACCCTTGCAAAAAAGTTTCCTTGAAAATATAGTCTTTTAAGTCATTACATATCTTTTAAGTGATATTGTATAAAATATTTTGCAATTAGTGAAAATAATTTAAGACGGCGACTCAATGCATGTGTGCATGCTATGCATCTCATGCAAAGTGGAATGAAAATCAGTTGACAATGCACTTGAATGGCCCATTTTATACACCATTCTGCTGTTCTCCATAACTTGAATGGCCCATTTTATACACCATTCTGCTGTTCTCCATAATTTGAATGGCCCATTTTATACACCATTCTGCTGTTCTCCATAATTGTATCTTAATAATCTAGCTCCCACACATCAATATCCTGTTTTAGATATTTTTATTCAATATTTCTTATGATTATGAAACATTAGAAATTTAATTTCATCAAAGGACTTATTATAGACATTGATTATATAATTAATAATTATTTTAAGCTCAATTAAAAAAGGATCAATGAAAAAATCGAATACTGTATCGAACAACATGCTATAATATTGTCTTGTTAAAAATATATAAGATTATTAAGTTCTTAGGTTGTCAGTTTTTCCATAACATCATATAAAATCGCCATGCCAACATGTAATATTCAAACAATATCATGAAATGTTAAAATATAATCTAAGCACATTGTTTCTTATTACTAAGTAGCTTTACCAGTTCTTACAACTAATCTTATTATATTTTATTTTGTAATTTAACAATGTTCGTGTAAAGATATATTTGGCAAGAAGTCATTTTGAATAACACAGAACACATTATAACAGTTCGGATGTTCCTATATAATATGTAGCCAAACTGTACCCCTCCATGTGGATGGTTCATACTTCCTCAACTACAGTAAAACCTGTCAAAGTGGAACACATTTGTTACTTCTATAAGAGTTCCACTAATTGAGGTTCATTTAACATTAAGTCAGTTAGTCCTGGAACTCTGAAAATTTTCACTCTGAAAATTTTCACTCTATGAGAAGGTCACTAATCATCTGACCTTGGGGTCACAGATAATTCATTCAACAGTAAAGAGATTATTCTGAATCTTTTAGCTGAGTCATGCAAACGATTGATTTGACTGAATATACTTTTAAAATTGAGGTGTCCAGATTTTGGCACACTCTGTATATATATTTTTATTAAGAGCATGAAGAGTTGATTAGGAAATGATCCATGCATGTCTGCGTGGAGGTATGGCTTGAAATCAAAACCACAATGATTAAAGTTGATATAGAATTAATGAAAATGTTGATTTGTTTGTATTTCATATAATAATGTAATATTGTTTTTTATTATTTTTCATGTTAGTACCACACGCACCTTGAGATAGAATGTTGTAAAAACTTGCAAATCCATCACATTGATCTGCCTTCATTTGTTAGAAAGTTATTATTTCACTGTGTATAATATTATGAATATATGCCATGGTGACACATGATTGATGCTTTTGCTGTTAATGGCTTATCCACCTTTATTGCCAGTTAAGTGAACCTTCTATGGTATAAAAGATACTTGCTATGTTTGTGCTAATTTCACAATCCATTTGTGGTTAATTATTGATAGTAGCCGAGTTGTAGTTCTTTACTATGTTACTGAATGATGAGGTCCATCTACTTGCATTTCAAACTAGGAATTTCGTGACATTGAGATTAAAGTCATGGCGTGTATTTTTGAATTTTTATGGTTTCTGTTTTAAATTTTGGAATTTTCCAAGTTTTATGTATCTTAAATTATAGAAGTTTTCTTGTTTAGAGATGAAATGTATTTCAAATGGAATTCTCTATTTGTTCACAGCAAATTAGTTTTTAATGACAAACACCGTGACCTGATATTCTATTTTCATAGTCAATTATTTTAAAATCTGTATTGTTTCGCTAATGGAATTACATGAATTACTTGGGTTTAATGGGTGAGTCTGGTTTGCTAAGATATTAAAATATGAATGTAAATGGACTTAGGTAATAATGTATTATTAGTTTTTATGCAAAGGTTGGATGAAAGTGATTAATATATTCTGAATGGTTTTAAATCATCAATAACAACACTGTTGTGTGGATTAATCTGTTAATGACTTTTAAATCATTTGTTCTTGGCATTTTTATTAGAAATATCATGATATTACTCTAATTAAGTCTCAAATTGCTAAACACTTCTGGGATCCACTTCTGTTGTGCATTAATGTTATTACACAGTAATGACAACTTTTAAATACATAGCTATTAATGCAGCCCACAGATATTCTAAACGCCTTCCATAAGTACTTAACATATAGATTACAGTAAAACCAGTCTCACCTGAACGCAACTGGGACCAGGCAAAAGTGGTAGGATTAGCAGGTGTTCACATTTCAAGTTTTTTCTAACATGCTAATCAATCAGCAAATACAAAATTGAAACATGTAAAAAGTGTTCACATGAAGAGGTGTTCAGCCATACAGGTGTTACTGTAAATATGACGAGTACTAAACAAGTTCTGTTCCACCATATCTTGGCAAAAGTTGTTATAATAGAGTTGATAGTCTGATTTTAATATGGCAATTACATGTCCTGGCTACTAATATTCCTTTTGAATTTTCCACAAAGGTGAACATTTTTGCACTAATAACTTAGTAGTTGCAATTCATTAATAATAATAATAATGTCTGAATTTAACTTGTTTAAATTATTCTGCAACGATGACATATATTTTTATTTTGATGACATTTATTTTTTAAATAATTGACATGGAACACAAAACATATTTTAACAATTGTTCTTTATTGAAAGGTGAAGGGTGAAAGATGGACCACTTCTAGATACATAACTTACAATATAATAGATAATATTATTGACTAGGTTTTATTAAGTTGCGTCTACATGTGTTTTGATTTCTATGCTGCTCCACATAAGCTTGCTTTATGCCTCTAATTGCAGTAAAATAGACCAATCAATAAATCGCATCTTTAAAATGTATGAGTATATTTATATCTGATATGTGTACAGCAATTTTATTAATATTTTTATAGGTAATTAATTACAAAAGCTTAATCTGTACATATTTCTCAAACATGTATACATTTAATAGAGAATACATGTGGAATAAATAAAAAAGCAAATAGCATTCTTATGTTCATTTTATAATCCGAAAATGTAAAAATAAACAAATACAATCAAACGAATTAGTACTTCCAACAGAAAACTTCACCTATTGTTTGATTTTAACTTCAGTGGGAATCTGGGATAGATTGTCCTGCCTTTTTGGTTTACCTTCCACCCCAGGGCTGAAACCTTTGTTTAGATTTTGAGTTATCAGCGCCATCTAATCCATCAAGTATAGGGCTTCCAAATTGTACTCCACGGGTTCTTAATGGGGCTCTTTTTCCAGTGTTGAAATCAATTTCAAGTCCATTTCGATCAAAATTATTGAATAATGCATCATAGTCCTCATACAAAGCGTCCCAGTATTTCCGGTCTCCTTGATTTGAATAAAATCTTGCCTCGGGATAGTTTATACTTTTCCCTTTGTTATCATCAGATAAAATGTTGTTAAATGCTGGCGAAAGAATCTCTTTTGTGTTTCTGTCAACAGAGGGTCCCATATCAGGATCATATCTTTTGCCAGGTGATCTATATCCAATTGTTCGCATTAACGAAATTGATAATGGTCCAAAGTTATATGGCGGTAATTTTCCATCAATAAAATCATCGGAAGGTTCCTCCTTAAAAACTCGTCGAATTGAAAATCCTAAAGCAAGCTGAAGTTGGCAAGTGAAAATAAGTGCCAATAGTCCAAGCAGTTTTATATGTCCCCTTGAAACCATGTTGTAGTAACTCCAATGTACTTATACAGTTGTAATATATCTTTTGTAGTGTCTGTAGTTTATTCACCTCTTTATATAGTACCTTAGGTAGAGGGAGGCGTAACTCAAGAATGTGAATCAGTTTGTCGTATTTTCATTAATTTTCATCAATTGAATCCTTCACAGCATTTACAAGGAGCTGACTGCATCCTGAAATCGCTCTACAAAGCCTTTCATAACAAATTGACATTAGTGAACCCCTGTTTTCTTTGTAACAGAGATTGTTCAGAATTCTTGTAATTATAAACTAATAGACGATTCATTATAAACTTAGCATTTCTCATTTTCCAATTAGGGATGAAAGACTGCCCACAAGAACAATGTAGCAGTCATTACCAATGTGGGAAATAGATTATATTACATATTAATGGAAACTTAGAACTAGATTATTATTGTTTAGTTCTTCATTCACACTCTTTTGACTCATTAAAAATTGTCCAAAGGATAACTTCAGTATTTCAACTTTTGTAACATAGAACACTTTTTTCAATTATTTTCCAAAATTGCATTTGTTTCACTTTGACTGACATATGCAGAATGACATGCTATTATAACACACCTATTGTTACAATCATACTCGTTATTTTTATATAAATTATTAAATGACCCATACAAATACATAGATTTCCAATTTTAATTTTGGAATGTAATCTTCTTAAAACACGAACACAGGAAGTGTAATAAAAAATAATTACCTAGAAACAGTGTAAGGAGTCTAACTAATAAAAGTTTGAACCCTAAATAACTATTTGAATTTTTCATGAGGCATGGTTCAGCTCCTGGTTGGAGCAACATTCTTCAGGGCTGAATGAAATGAAAAGTACCCTTGAAAAAGATTTGGTCCATTCGGACTCTTTAAATTAGAAATAATACATTATTTGGCTTCTATCATAAGTTATCAGAAAACCAATTCATTTTCTGTGTACACTACAAGAAACAGACATTCATTCCACAATGATGCATTGAAGATCATTAAGATTGGCTTGTTAGTATTATATTTTAAGCATTTTATTTGGAACACAAATCAACAGGCAGATTGTCAAACTGATGGGAAATTCAGTGGAAAAACATAAAAGGAAACCATAGTACATAAATAGTATGTCAGTGAATGAATCTTTTTATTAGTGACATTTAATAGGGCAAAGAATCCTAAAATGTGTAGCAAGGCTCCATTGATATTCAGACACCAAATGTAAAAACAGACAAAAGCTTGTTGTATCCCATTGTTATTTAACATTAATTACCAATCGGGTAAACTAGAAGTTATCTCTTGTCAATATCATAAGCAGGGGGAAAGGCCGAGGGGGGGGGGGGCGTTATAGTTCCTTGGAGTGCAGCATAACATAATCAATTACATTAATCCTGTAATAAGTGTGCAAGTAATTTGAATATATGGCAATTAATTGTACATTTACATAGCAAACATCATTGATAGTTCAATATATTCAGATCAGAGCATCTTAATTGTGATTGCAAGACAGGAAGATGCAATGAATATGTTAGAATATAATGATTGTTGCAATATAGCCCTAAATGCTGCTATGAAAAGTCTGTAGTATAAGATCAATTAGATCTGTTTATTCATATTTTCACAGTATCATCCAAATTAAAAGATTTAATACCTCTACAGTTTTCCATTTGTCCAGTTGTCCATTTGTCATTATGTTAAACTCTGTCACAAATGAGCTAAAATAAATATGACTTAAACCTTGTATTCGCAAATTCAACTGCTGGCTGTCAGCTGACGGATTAACCTACTATTTTATCATTAATGAGTTTGCCATAAAAAGTAGGTTAATCCGGTAGTTGACAGCCAAAAGTTGCATTCGCGAATGTGAGGCTAGTGTGCATTTGTTAATTGTAGTTCAAGTATATTGTTATATCCCAAATATTGGACCCATCAGCTGAAATAATGATTACCCAATTAGCATTTGAATAGATTTTAATGCCTCATGCTGTTCAAGCTGGTAGTTTGAAACTGATAGTAGAGGACCAACTTTTGATTGACCCAAATATGGATTTCATGTGCTGACTCATGTGGGTTATCATTCATAATATCAATACTGTAGACTATCTTAGACCCTGTTGCTTTGTTAGCTTTTTTGCATGTTAATCATCTTAGGTTGTATTCCCGAATGCAAGCGGCGGCTAACAGCTACTGGATTAACCTACTTTTTTATTGGTAACTCATTTAAATATGAATTCCATTCATTCATATTTAAATGAGTTGCTCATAAAATAGTAGATTAATCCAGTAGCCGCTAGCCATTAGTTGCATTCGCAAATACAATCTAAAACTTACACCGATGACAACATGTTCGTTAGAAACCTCATAAAATAGATTACATAATATTACATCACTGCTAGTTGAAATATTTTCTAGTGAATACACACTAACATTTCTAATTAATCAATCTTATCAATGTGTTATTTACAACACCAAATCTAATGGAGAAATCTCACAAAAAACAATCAATGTGTTATTATGCAAACTTTGAGATGAACAAATAAATGGAAATCTAAAATTTTAGCAAATTATTCTCAAATCATGACACTGCCTTTAAGATTTATTATATTTCACGTTGACATATACGCGAGTTATGACCTAATTAACCTGACAATAGAGTGCATTACGCCCGACAGTACAATACATTAACGAATACAATAATAAAGTGTTAAAGAACATTTATCTTTGTTGATCTTAAAGACATTTTTGATTTTTATTCCGTTCCAGTGATTGTAATAGATTACTTTTTGATACAATGTTTAGATAATAATAGTAATGGTCTGTTACATTGATTGAATGGAAACTCTCCTGATTTACCTAATTTCTCCTAATGCAGCCTGCTTTAAGTGGATAACCTCGACTGTGAAGATACATACCTCAGTGTTTTAATGATGGCTGTGAAATATTGCATTCTGGTTTTCTTCATCTTCAAATTCTGTGTACATGTATATCAAATCACAAATGTTATTTTTGAGGTATTGATTATGTGGACCATTAAATATAAGAGTTAGATAACCATTAAAAAGACTGGTGGTTGTGCTTTTATTACTTTAAAGGCCCCATATAAAGTTTAAACCACTTTGGCTTATATTGTTGTCTTATACCCAATGTTATCAAAGTGTGATATGTGAAACTTTTTTTTTAATTTCAAAAAGTGGTTTTTGATAGACTTTTTGTTCCAAAATTTGTGAATTTATTTAAAACCAACTTTTAGAGGTCACTCATATCTTCTAATTAGCCACAATTTATACCAATGCATAGCATTCATCCTCCTATGTTTTTTGCCGCAAAAATTAAGAAAATCAGTTCATAAACAAGCGAGAAATGAACTTATCAGTGCATGAAAATGGTTCTGAGAAAAATGCATTTCAAAATTTTAGTTCTCATAGAAACCAATGGTACAATGATATCTAAAACATAATTTATTCTTCCTTTTAACCTGGTTAGACAATCAACATTGGTTTTTTATGAAAGTCTAGCATATTTAGAAAAGATTGACATGGAAAAAAAAATTCAATTTTTTTCAAAAAGTTTTTGCTACCTTAGTGACATCAGTAATGTTTCAAAATATTTTTGATATGCTAAAACATTGAAGTGGCCCATTAAATATGGCATTTTATTATTGAAATAGTGTGTCCTTTGTTCAATCTTTGCATTGGTGTTAAAAAGATAATCTTTTTTGAAATGCATTAAGAAATATTTGATGATTAAGAAATGTCAACTTTTTTTGAAAAATGGCGGGAAATTTGAATATTTGAGAAATGAAATGCTCACAACTTTTTTTTCAAAAATTTTTTTTGTTCAAAAATCTCTAAAATCACTTTTTAAGTCCTGACAAATAGTAAATGAATGATAAAAAAATATTTTCAAACTTTAGACGGGGACTTTAAGTAAACTTACAGCTTCATTCATTGAAATCGACAAGGACAATAAAGGTATCATTCTGATACTCACACATCTTTCTGTTTTGACAATGACAAAATCACAAAGAATAGCATGAATGAAAAGATTAGCATCTCATGATAATGAAAATGAAGACATTTCAAATGTGTATATTTGACAAAACATTTGGAAAACTAATTTTTGAAACTGATGAAAGGTTGACCAATTTTGCTCAGAAAATTGGATATTATCTCGTTTTTATGAAAATTCTCCAGCAAGAAATGTTGAATTAGGGAAAGGCCATTGAAAATATTTTGACAATGTAGTTAAAACATTTTAATTAAGGATTTTAAATATTGAGAAGTATAAATGTATTTTGTTTTTAATGGGAAACACCTATTATAGTTTGCCGCTGATAAGGCATTTGTGAAATCAATAAACAGTAATGTATGATATGATATTGAATGGTCATTATTCATCAATAAAATGTCAGTCAATGCACTATGATCATCATCTGATCATATCAAAACATATTTGTGTTCAGGTGTCATTCTCCTGGGATGTTACCTCTTTCAGCCTACTTCTGCATATTATGGAAAATTGAAATATTGGATTTTGATAAAAAATGTTCCATAACAGTTATCATAACAATGAATAATTATTTCTACATTAAATCCATCTGTACCTTTCACCTGCATTTTACAACTACAATCTAGCTTAGGAGGCTGTAGTAAGATGTTAAATGGTACTCCACATGTACAGATTATTTTCACTCAAACAGTTATGATCAATACACAATGAAAATATCTATGTGATATTGGAATTCTAAAATCAAGTTAATTCAAAATCTAAATCAAAATGAGCCAGTAACTTTGTCAATTAAGGAACCAACATTTTGATGCCATGCATATACATGAAAGTGAGACCTTATTTTGAGAGGTATGGAGACATATGGAATACCAAATTAAAGCTAAAAAGGACCTTAATTCAATTATTTGTTTGAGGTTTTCATCATTGGTGTTGGATTTGTCTTCATACCTCTTGAGATTTTAAAATTCCTTATTTCCACATGGTTCCTACTCGCCAATATGCAACAACAATAATTTAACTTCGACCTCCTAAAAATGAAACACTTTTCAAATTAACCCAGATTTTAAAAATTGATGTAGTACATATTTGATTTAATAAAACAATGACACTATTATTCTTAGATGACTTACAGTTACCTTACCAATATGAAATCAGTTTAAAGAAAGATTAGACCGAGAACCTACGTATATTGTAAACAAGGCGCCAAATCCATCACTGAATGAATTAACTGTTCTTTAATTGATATTAATCACTCTAAATATAATTGAATTACAATATTAAACCCACAGACTTCATTTGAAGTCATTTCCCTTGGTGGACGAGTGGTGGACGTATGTCAATATTTGCAAGCAGAAGACAACAGGGGAGAATATCTGGCAAAGTTCTGTAATTAACCACTTTGTTCAAAAATGTACTGTTTCTGGTTAATTTCTAACCACTTCATTCATATAAATATATAAAACAGTTCTATATATTGGGCTGGTGAGGCACATAATTAAGTGATTCATGAATTCCTTAAAAAAGACCACCAATTTAAACCTCCATCAATAGTCTAATATGTATAGAATTTTCATAAACTACTAAAAATAATGCAAAATTTACTTAATATCTCTAGTGGAATTGAGAAAATTAAACACTTTATATAAGAGTGATGTATGTCAAAATGAAGGGATTTTCAATAATTGAAAAACTAAAGGCTAAAAACTTTTTAAAACCCTTTTTTCAAAAAATATCGAAAACAACTTTCTCAGTCAAATCCCAAAACAAATTATTTGCAAAACTTTGCATGGGGCCTTTAAAATCTGCCAAATACATTAGGGCCTTAATCCCATTTACAGTACTAAAGAGAACATATTTGATTCGTCATTATGGGAGGGGAAGTGGTCATATTGTTGCATTATTACAATAAGCACTCAACGAGGTCTCTGATTTATCTGCTTTTATCATGAAATGATCATATCAGAGCAAAGAGATATGACATAAATGTGGTTACATCAAAACACAATATAAAGTGTTTTCTATGGTTTTATTATGATTTGGTTAAAAGGCAATGCATATTGCATATAATGACATATGGTTGTGTTTGTAAAACATGCATTTACATATATATATATATATATCATGATAAATATCTAACAAGTTAATAAGATATAAATTGGCACTCAAAATGTATGAATTGTACATAGATCAACATGTAATATATTGTCAATCAATCTTGACTGAAGAACTCTAAATCACAAAACATTCCCTACTTGTAGTTATGAACTCATGATTAACAGAGTTTTTGACTAGAAGATATCTAAATGATATCAATACATGGATTTGATTAATATAGGGAACATTTCTCTTAACTAATTTGAAATAGCAACAAGGTGTCAGCTCAAACTCTATACATATTTATGCAAAAATAAATTCTGTAAACCAGATAAAACAGTGTTCACCTCAAGGGTCAATAAAACTGTTATAAACAGAAGATAAAACAGCAGACCTCAAATGGTCAAGATGGTTAAAATATTGTTCCACCATACATTGTTCATTGTTGTTGAGCAGAGTGGTATCCGTGCATGGAACAATGTTTCGAAAGTGTTCTTCTTTGAGACACCAATTGTTTTTTTTCCATTGTCTTGTTCTGATCAGACTTTCATTATTATGCTCATCGTTATCTTAGAGTGTTGGCATTTTTCCTATTTCATACTCATCAGTCCCCATTCCAGTTGATTGAGGCAAACGAATCAGATGAATATCGACGTCATCATCACGACGTTGCCATAGCATTTCCCGATCAAAATACACAAGTCCTTGTTTTTTAGCTCGCATTAACATTCCCACTAACTTATTTGAGATTTTTGTGTAAAATTCAAAAAGCACTCCGAATTTTACTGAATATGTACCATCGGGGTTTGATTTTCCAAGATTATGTATAATGTTACATAGCTCAATCACCTCTCCCGTTATACGCTCGTTTGCACTTTTCCCCCGAAATTCCGTCTTTGATCCTTCTTCTGGTTTTCCATATCTATCATCATATTTATCATTTATGTCTTTGTAAGTAGCCCCTAATCCTTTATATTGTTCTGAAAAGGGATTGATTTCTTGAGATTGCTGATGTTTGTTTACTCTCTCCTGGAAAGCAGAAGCCCTGTCTGTGACCCCAATAGATTCTGTATTTGGGGCTGCCACTTGTGTAACAGGGGTTCTTTTCTGCTTTAGACCAGCAAGACGAGATTTTACGTCTCCTTGATATGGCATCTTTATCTGAAACAAAAAGTGCAAAAGTACATTAGACAGGGCAGACTGTAGGAGTGAATGGGGTTTGGTTAGTTTGAACACCTGTATCTATAGTATTGCATGCCTATGTGTCGTAAGATGGTCTATAATGATAGCAACAGGTGCATCAGTCAATGTTATGGTAGACCTGCGGCTATATACATTTATTAAAACACTTATGCTTATACACATTCTAATTCACATATGTCTCAAAGATTTATATAAGATCAATAATTTAAAGTGGCAGCAAAGAAGAGAAATAAAAGATAGAGTTGAAGGTTATTTGAAATCGCATAGCAGGCTGTTGAAGATTTAGTTGAAGGTTATTTGAAATATAAATAAAAAATTGTGTCTAACATTTTCTATTGGTCTCAATCTTTTTCTGCAATGTAAAAGCTAAAACTAATACCCAGAGGTATGCAGTAGCAGGTTCTATTGTTGCAACATCACTCTCTGCGAAGGGACACTCCAATTTTGAATGGTAGTGGGTGGTCAAGATGAGCCAAGACGAATAAAGTTGACTTTTTCTGACCAGCTTAGCAGTAATATAGCATAGCCTAGTGCATACAAATAGCCATTTCTCCTTTTAAATCTTGATTGCATTGAAAACATGTGCATAATTAAATTTATTCCAAAATACGTATATTGTATTCCCTTGGAAATAAAAAAAATCGTATTGTCCCTCTTAAAATCATATATACTCAAAAAAGGCTTCTGAATGTTACTTATTGGTATTCAGCAAAACCTGGATGTTACATAAATAGAACATTTCGGTTAACAACGTATATTATGTATATTCAGTACTCACATTTGAACAATTTTAAAAGTTTCAATTCCCGTAGTAGATTTATAAAAACCAAAATTATCTTACCTATTTTCTGAGTGAGATTTCAAAGGATTAATGTATTAGTTTCCAAACTTCACTGGAATTCTCATCTCAAGTTTGAATCTCTAGTTCACCAGATGCTTCTAATTACCAACCCTGAAATTATAGATAGTCATATGTACATGTGTATAACATGTGAATTACAGTTAAACTTGTGAAAACGGTATGCTCTCAGAACTGGTCATTAAAATGTTTGTAGAAAAGGATTCCCACAGAGGTATTCCCGAGAGCAGGTTTTACTGTTTAACACAAAATATAGAATTAACTTTAGAAAGATCTCCTGTATAAGGGTTACTGGGTGTCTCAACTTATTAAAATGAGAAAGATATATTTTCACCAAAATAAATACAAATTATGATTAAGCAAGACACAACCCTGTTAAAAAAATTGACAAGGTCACTGTTAAAATATACAAAGGAGGAATAGTGTCATTAAAATGAAGTTTATAATAGTATCTTAATGAGAGAGAAAACATCTGGCCTCATGTTGAATTGCTCAAATTGGCAGGTCACAACTAATTGATCCTAACAAATACAAAAGTAAAACATTTATGAGATGTGATTATGCAATTAAAAAGCAATAATTAGTTTGTTAATTGGCTTTGCAAAACAAATGTATGTTTTGTTAACTTTACTTTCTTGATTATTCATATTTCCTGGGAAATATTGTTAAGTGATTTTGCCATAGGACCTAAATTTAAAATATTTTTTGGGATGCACCTGAACCTACTATGATACTATGAATCTAATATATACAAGGGTTGATCCAAAAGTTCCGAACCGTTTGCTCTAAAAATCTTAATACTTTATGAATATTGTTCATATTTGGCCACAATCACCCCATATATAGTAGTTTCATTTTGTGTAAAAATAAGCAATAAATTTGACCAGTAACATAGGTGTCTGGTTACTATAGCAACATGACAACAGGGTAGGTGGAGCAAGAGTACGACACAGTTATCCTGGTTCACTCTGTGGCAACTGGAGTCACCGTCAATGGAGCTTATAATTCAAAGGTCAGTTACAAAACCATATCACTCATTTATAAAGTTGTAAACTAGTTTACTTTTATGAGGTATGGTGATTTATTTTGAGTCAATCAATTAGGTATGACACTTACTCAGTTTAAAAATGTGCCCCAGGTGCTGAAGGAAGATTTTAAAGATGCCATGAGAAAAAAACGACCAGATCTCCTTGGGAATTTTCACCATGATAATACCCCAGCCAATAGAGCCAATGTTACAATAGAGGCAATCCACGAGTGCTTACAGTCCCAACTACAGCCCCAATCTGCCATATTCTCCTGATATGGCACCATGTGACTTTCAAATGTTTCCTGAGGCCAAGAAACCACTGCATGGTATCCATTTTGATGAATTTTTCTGTTAATCATATTAGAATCATAACAAAGACCTTGATTTTATGATTAATGTCCAATATTATATAACCTCAAAGTTTATTCTGGCCATTGCCAAACAATGAACAGAATAAAATTTTCGGTCATATATTATGCCATAAATCATAAAATCTCGGTCTTTATTCCTTAATTTTAACTCTTTGAGTGCCGTGGGGTTTTGGAATTGTTATGACGTCAAAATGCCACGGAAATGACTATAATATTGATGAAAAAATCGATTTTTATGTTTTTTCCACTCCATGATATTTCTTCCACTGGTATCTATCTTGATGATATTGCAAGTGTTAAAATACTTTATTTTCACTTTTAGTTACTATGGTAACATGTTGAACGTCACTTAATCAATACATATTTCAGTTCTTAGAGGGGTTTTATAGCTAAAATTAACATTGGAAATATCGCACGGTTGAAAGAAAAAAACTTTGAAAACTAAACGTAATAGACTAGATGCGAGTAGAAATAATCTTGATTTAAGTCATCAAAAAATAAAAATTCATTCAAACTGATGTCATATTTGGAATCTACATGTAGAATTACATCTAGAAATGTGGTTTTGAAAAGAGTTTATCAACTTTGAAAATTTAATTTCCTTTGAAAATGTGACTTCTAGGTCGGGGAGATTCCCCATAGAGCCCATATTGTAAAATCACAAAAAGTGAAATATATTTTCTTGTGTTCGGCAGATTATATTTTCTTTTACTGGGCCTATTTTAATTTGTATAACTATCAGATACAAAAGGGTAATATGGAAAAGTGAACCACTAAAACTGATGAATATGCAAGTTTAAGGGAATTCTGTAATACCCTGCCATGTTATTTCCCCCGACTCGGCCACCTGGTGGCGAAACTGGTAACTACCTACTCGCATCTGAGTAATTACTTTTAGTAATGCGCCCGTTCTTGCGCAACACATTTGGCGTAGCTTATTAAATATTTTAAAACAATAATTCAAATTAAAATATGATTCAAATAATTATCCTCTTTCTTTTATTACTCCTTCTTTCAAATTAAAGAAATTCAGCATATACGAACAATATACATGCTATGTACAAAAATAATGAATAAATATACAATATCAGGATAATTCAAATTCATACAAATTCAGGCTAACTTTAATTGGCAGAACATATTGTGTGATGTGTATAATGAACCATGGTTTAATTGTGAAAGCCTACTTGTACTTGTTAGTATAGATCGTAAATATAACTACATTGTATACTGTATATGAGGAATAGATCAGGTCGAATTATTTTTAGTGAACAAAACAAACATTACGTTTCACTCATATCCATGCATATTTTATTTCAAATACACGAATTTCAAGTATTTACTTCGTACACTAAATTACGTTGACAGATACAATCTAACAAACATCAGCGTTGCAAAAATACGAAAATTACGTGCGTTCATAGCATAAAATAAGTTACCTCAGTTAGTTTGCAACACAATTTGTTTAATTACTTGACCAGTAACGTATTATTCACCATTTATGGGGACATTATTGAATCTACTATATTCGGGCCGATATTCCATTAAACCTTGCCAACTTGGTTAAAACGCATTTGATACGATGTTGTAAGATACCCAGCGTCTGTTAAATTAACTTAAATCAAACTGAGTCCGGGTCGATTTATTAAGACCGATCTAAACAAACATAAATAAATAAGAATAGATTATTCATTCTCAGTTGATGACATGTTTCCCTGTGTATATAAACGCGTTATTTTGGGCCGATTTTGGGCCGATCTTGGCACTTTAGCGACATACATTTTCCCATCGGCCGAATCGGCCCAATGGCACTCAAAGGGTTAAGATGTTTCATTATTGTATGTGGGTTTGATTTATAGTTTTAATTTGGCAAAGGGACAATTCTACAGACAAATGCTCTAATACAGTCCGATGAGGATTCATTGAAATCTCCGGATAAATTATGAAAAACAAGGAATTTTGGTACCTCATATACCTATATACTACAATAGAGCCCCATATGGTACCTAAACCCATATTCTACAGTAGAGCTCCATACGGTACCTCAATATTATATAACCTCAAAGTTTATTCTGGCCATTGCCAAACAATGAACAGAATAAAATTTTCGGTCATATATTATGCCATAAATCATAAAATCTCGGTCTTTATTCCTTAATTTTAAGATGTTTCATTATTGTATGTGGGTTTGATTTATAGTTTTAATTTGGCAAAGGGACAATTCTACAGTCCGATGAGGATTCATTGAAATCTCCGGATAAATTATGAAAAACAAGGAATTTTGGTACCTCATATACCCATATACTACAATAGAGCCCCATATAATACCTAAACCCATATACTACAGTAGAGCTCCATATGTCCCCTTTAAAGCCAAAAATGTTTTTGCATAGAATTCCCTGGCAGGGAAAAATAAAACCCCTTCGGTAAGTCCTGTCTTTTGCTGTATTCCTCAATTGAGTCAAAAGAGTGCAAAGAGACTCCAACAAGACCTGGACACACTACAAAGATGGGAGGATTCTTGCAACCCAGACAAATTGGAGGCACTGTACTACTTATAACCAAGAAAAGATCATCTCGTTTATGTCAGTACTGCTCCCATGACCAACAATTGCATACAGTTGATACTGCTAAGAACGTAAGTGTAAACATCAGTAACACCTCATCTTGGAATCCTCACATATCTGCCATCACCAAGAACACCAACTCTAATATCAGCTCCTGGCCCAGCAATATGAGGAAACAAGCATACTATTTGTACCTTTGTTAGACCACAGCTACTATTCTCCTACTACTACTATCTACTACTATTCTCAGGCTGCCATCCAGCGCTTATCACAGCCTTTGAAACAAACGTTCCAAAAAACGAGCTCAACACAGTCATAAACATCCACAATTCATGCAAAACAATCAGAAAAAAGGTATGTCAATCAAATACTATTGGGTTCCAGGACACGTTGATGTCAAAAGCAGTGAACTGGCTGCAGTCACGCTAAACGGGCAGCACTACAGTAGTTGCAAAAAGCGAAAAATATGCAGAGGCTAAAATAAACAAACAAGAAATATACAGCCTGATCAATAAATCTGTCCAAACAAATTGGCAGAGGCAATATAACATTCCAAAAAAGTTAGCCATATACAGTTGGAACTTAAGAGCTATTTTGGGAGAGAAAAACAGGTCTGGAATACATTCTGTATCACTAACCATTCTATGGCCACTGAGTGTGGCCATAGAATATAAATAAGACACTCTTTGTTGTTTTGAATTTGCATTTAAATTGCCCAGCCATCTTATTTTTATTGATGTAAACATAATAGACTCACTTTCATTGATCTTTACACGCAGTCCTAGTTCATACATTCGTCTACTTCGCAGGATATTTATTCACAAAAGAATTAAAATAAAATTGAAAGAAATATTTTACAACAAGCGGCCATCTTGACTAAATCGCTATAGCGGAAAAAAGGCATAGTTTCAAAATGGAGAACGAGACAACGTCTATTTTAAATGAAAACGTTCAATATCTCATCAACAAGACAAGCCGTTACCATTTCAATTCATGAAATATTAAAAGAACGATTTTTAGAATATTATATAAATTTATTGAATGAAGATTTTACAATAGTTCACGGTGTTCCAGATGGAATCACTTCGAGCCAAGAGTTGGCTAGAGACTCGAGTAATATGAAGCCAATAGTATTCTTCTAGAAAGTGAACATAGCACAGAATTGGACCGAATAGTCTCTAGAAGTCTAATAGTCCTAAGTCGGTAACACACATCCCATACTTAGGTATTGACATCACAAATAACTTACGCTGGACTACATATATTCAAACTATTGTATCCAAAGCCAATAAGGTGCTTGGATTCCTCAGGCGCAACCTCCATCAATGCCCTGAAAAAGTGAAAGCTCAGGCGTACAAGTCACTAGTCCGGCCTAATTTAGAGTATGCCACCTCGGCATGGGATCCATACCGACAAAAAGATATTGATATGTTGGAACAGGTACAGAGAAGAGCAGCCAGGTTTGTAACCAAATGTCACTCGAGGGAACCAGGCTGCGTCACCAAAGCTGTTCAAGACCTACAGTGGGAGCCACTGAAGGAGCGTCGAGAGGCTGCTAGAGTTTTCCTCTTCTACAAAGGAAAGCAGAACCTAGCAGCCATCGACGTGCCTCCATACTTCCGCCAACAGATCAATACCAACACTAGGTTGTATCATCCTTTTAAGTTCATACAACCATCAACTAGAACGGATGTATACAAATTTAGCTATTTCCCTAGGACAATAGCTAAATGGAACACTCTACCTGGTGACATCTTAGACTGTGACAGTCTAAGTAGTTTTAAATCATCATACTATGCCTATGTCAATAACTGCAATTAAATAGGTGTGTTTTTAATATAGATCTATGTTTTAATGTAAAAGGTCCCCAGTGCACAGCAACAAGCCTGCACTACTGGTAAAGAGGGGTGATGTCAACGCGGTAGCCTGACAGTCACCCCAGGGTATTTCAACATAAAGGGACTTCCTAGGGGGGTACAGGGGCCAACCAGGAAGGTTCCTTTCAATTTCAAAAGGAGTTGTAAACCATAGATCTATTTTTAAATGTTAAGGTTTTAAATTATATTCTATTCAAATTCTATCACTGTTAAATTATATATCTGCTTTATATGGGCTTATTTTATCCCGTTCCCGGACTATGGTCCTGTGAACATCTCAATCTTTTGCCTGTGCGATTACAACATGGGAGAATTTTTTACTGATCTTACACTTCAGATACCTACTTCAATAGATTCCTTGGTAATTTAGCATTCTTTTCGTGTAGTTGAATCCACAATTGTCTGGGTTTATCGGCAGAACGAAGACATTTTCGTTTTTGATCGCAATATTTGCGTGTAACATTTAACTTATTTCAACCGTCAAATTCCTCCATATTGGTACTTCCGGGCTACATCCGCGACAGCCAAACGGGGGATTCCCCTTTTAAATCCAACCGCCATTTTGAAAAGTGATGGAATCTCTCTCGATGAAAAAGAGAAAATGTTCCCGTTCTGCCGATATACCCAGACAATCGGCGGTTCCAATATATTAGAAGTTACATCTTGAGTTCTATAATGCATTGAGGTAGGTATCTTAAGTGTAAGGGGCGTAGATAATTCTCCCAAGTTGTAATCGTACAGGCAAATGAATGCGATCAGTGCAGGACTATAGTCCGGGAACGGGATAAGGCTTATTAGCCTTTTGCAGATTATTGACATAGACATAGAACCCAAAAATAACTTCCGGTTCAGCTATTTTAGTTTTGTCGCACACATCAAATATTTTTGATTCTTCTCTCTCACGAAAATAGTAGAATAAATATCTCTTTACCTAACTGATTTGAATGTGTCCACGATGGTTCAAAACAGAAGGTGCCAATCTTGAAATTCTGCGAAAGAAGAAACTTTCGATAAGCAGGCAGGATTACGTTTTCACGGCACTGAACGAAAAATATTGAGCGATAATATGGAGGCGGAAGAAAATGAAAATTTCTATGTTCAATTGAACTCATCTCCTATCCGTTTTGAGCCAATAAATACGCTTATAAATGTTTTCTTCGATGACTCTAATAGACAGGTAATCGCCTTGATTTATTATTCAGAGGAATGTACAAGAGAACCTTTGAGATTTTGCTATTTATTCATTTCATAGAAAATAATCCAAATAGTTGATGATTCCCGGGAAATTACATATATGTCACTTTTCGAAATCAATCCATTTGTCCTTCAAAATAGGGTGAATCAAACGAGGTTTTCACTATATAAAATAGAACATATGATACGGAATGGTATGAAGATAGGGTCTTTTAGTTTGACCTTCATTGCCATATATTGGGTGTCCCAAAAGGTGACCCTATTATGGAATTCGCAATAATAACTTGAACTGGTTCAGATCCTGGCTTGTGGGAAGATCACAACAGGTAGTGCTCGATGGTGAATCAAGTTCAAAAACTCCAGTAAAATCAGGAGTTCCTCAAGGAACAGTTCTTGGACCACTCTGTTTCCTTGTTTATATCAATGATATGGGCAACAACCTATCATCCTCAGCCAGTCTTAAACTATTTGCTGATGACAGCCTTTTATTCATGACAGTCGAAAGCAAGCAAGATGCATTAACACTACAGGAGAATCTAGATAAACTGGTTTCCTGGGCATCAACATGGCAAATGAAATTCCATCCATCAAAATGCTATGTGCTAAATATTCACAAAGGTAAATCCCCTATCATTCACAATTACACCATGCTAGGGGAAAACCTTAAGAAAAAGTGAAGTCTCAGGCGTATAAGTCACTAGTCCGGCCTAATTTAGAGTATGCCAGTTCGGCATGGGATCCATTCCGACAAAAAGATATTGATATGTTGGAACAGGTACAGAGAAGAGCAGCAAGGTTTGTAACCAAATGTCACTCGAGGGAACCAGGCTGCGTCACCAAAGCTCTTCAAGACCTACAATGGGAGCCACTGAAGGAGCGTCGAGAGGCTGCTAGAGTTTTCCTTTTCTACAAAGGAAAGCAAAACCTAGCAGCCATCGACGTGCCTCCATACTTCCGCCAACAGATCAATACCAACACTAGGCTGTATCATCCTTCTAAGTTCATACAACCATCAACTAGAACGGATGTATACAAATTTAGCTATTTCCCTAGGACAATAGCTAAATGGAACACTCTACCTGGTGACATCTTAGACTGTGACAGTCTTAGTAGTTTTAAATCATCATACTATGCCTATGTCAATAACTGCAATTAAATAGGTGTGTTTTTAATATAGATCTATGTTTTAATGTAAAAGGTCCACAGTGCACAGCAACAAGCCTGCACTACTGGTAAAGAAGGGTGATGTCAACGCGGTAGCCTGACAGTCACCCCAGGGTATTTCAACATAAGGAAAGTTTGTTTCCATTTTAATGAGTTGCAAACCATAGATCTATTTTTAAATTATATTCTATTCAAATTCTGTCACTGTTAAATTATATATCTGCTTCATATGGGCTTATTAGCCTTTTGCAGATTATTGACATAAGACGTAGACATAGACCCTCTTTTTGACAAGTATTTTCTCTGCAATAAACCACTTGGATTCAATGAAAATTTCTATAAAGTAGTCTAGTCAAGTTTTACAAATATCACAGAGACTGGTTACATATTATTTCAGGATTGACAAATTCTAAAATACAATATCAGAGCTGCGCAACTAGGCCTTCATAGTGTAAGGATCCTTGATAGCAAGTTTAGTCTATATCCAATTGACTGAATTTCCTGAGAATTCAGTCTATTGATCATTATGTCCCTCCTGTGGGAAAAAACAGGAAATTTCAGGCACACAATTATCAATTTTAGGAAACTTCCCTTCCCAAAAATAAGCATTATAACAATTCTATTAAGTAGTAAGGTACAATTAAATGCTATGAAAAGTAACACAGCATATTGTCAAATGGAAATAAAGCTAGGGGAAGTAACAAGTATGCAAATTAATTTACCCAGTCGGCCATTTTGAATGGCACTTCCTATGTAAACAAATATTTTTCAATCCCAAATTTTAACATATGTGGGCTATAGTCTGAATATTTTCATTCCAAATTTCAAACAAAAATTCAGACTAGAGGATATAGTCTAATAGCAAGTTACTACGACGGCCCAGCTGTAGGGGCATAATCCTCTATAGCTCATTTGGAGGAACCTCAGATTTTGGATCCAGGGAGTTTGTGTAAAAAACCGGGTGACCGGGTAACCGGGTGACCGGGTACTTAACGTTCCTAGCAGGGTTAGGAATTTTTTTTATTTATAACGTTGGATCTGGACAATACGCGTACGTTATTTTCGACGTCAAGTTTTGAGGTTATTTCACATCATAAGAACGTTTTGACAACGTTAACTTTTAACGTTAAAATAACGTCGGTAATGAACCGATTTAGTGAGAACATATTGACGTCTTTGTAATGTTTCCTTAACTCACAAACATTTTGAAGCCATTTCCACAATGTTGAAATTCAACCATCCATCGACGTTTGCTGAATATTTAAATAACGTCAGATCAATACGGTCCATGAACGTCATTATCGACGTCACGTTTTGAGGTTATTTCAAATCGAAAAAAGTTTCGACAACGTTAAATTTTAACGTTAACAATACGCCGGAAATGAACCGACTTAGTGAGAACACAACGTTTTTGTCATGTTTTTTTCCACCAACAAATATTTTGATATTAAAATTTGAGTTACGTCACTTATGGACCAATAAACGTTCCTATTTGTTATGTTTTCCACACTAACGAACTTTACGGACACGTTACAACAACGTTCTTTTTATACCATCAATATATGTCTCATGTTTACTTTGCCTCGATGTGTAAAGAACAAAAATGTGCAACGTCTTCTAGGAACTTATATGCTACTTATGAGCAACGTGACATGGACGTCACTGTTTGCTGGATCGATTATTTTAAACAGTGCTCTATCTCATATAGGGTAAAAATATCGAACAGCAGTGCACTCGGTAGGCTAAGTCTGTCATGTCAATTCGCTACTATATATCGGGGGAAATGTGGAACTTTGAAAGTTGGTAACCCTGCTAGGAACGTTAGGTACCCGGTCGACCGGGCACCCGGTTACCCGGTCACCCGGTTTTTTACACAAACCCGGATCCAGGGGTCCTAGATTCGATTTCCAGATGGGCATTGAATTTAGCACACTTAAAATTTCTTTTTCTGGCTTGTTCATGGGGTTGTTACACTATACTCGTTAGTTAGTATTACGCCTGGGGCACGTTGGTAGCACCTGTCAATCAGATTTGGTCTCAAAATAGCTTGTCTGTATTTCAGGTTTATTGATTTGTGTAAATGGCTTTTTTCAGATAACAAGGGCTTTGTATAAAAAACCTCCTACCTTATACACACCTACCCACCTACGTGGAACATGATACAGTCATTGAAGTGTCAATTTTAAAGATTATTAAATCTCAAAATAGCTCAAATTATTAACATTTCTACAATTCCAGCTTATTTTATGACTAGACAGATGAAAGATCCATAAATAAAGGCATATATGCATTTAATATGTAATGACCCGAGGGCACCCCAGGGGAATAAATAACTAACGACCGCGAGCATAGGTCCAACAAGCCAGATAAAGAAATTGAAAGAAAGTGTGCTTAATTCGATGCCTCGAGTGGGAATCGAACCCAGCTGGGATGTAGTAGCAACTTGCTATCAAGGGTCCTTACAAATGCATCTATAACTCATCATAAACTTAAATTTAATAAACTAAGATCTTTAAAGTTGAACCCTTCAAAGACTGTAGATAGACTTGTTAATGATAGTTACATGTACCTTATAGTTCCACGATAAAAATTCTCAAAGAATTTGGCTTATCTGAGAAAATACGGAATGTACTAAAAACCCTTCGACCTACAACCCTTCGACCCTACGACTAACTGGGTGTCAAGAATTTTTGGAATATATTTTATTGAAAAACCTTTCGACCTCTGATTTCCCAGTCCAGTTTACTAAATGATTACGTATACTGCCCTGTCAACCCTCACGCATTAGGCATGCCGTTTATGTCACGCCCCCCCCCCCCCCCCGTTGGCGGGTTGGAACAGCGAGCGCAAGCAAGCTGGAAAATTTTTAGGTGTGCAAAATCTGGCAGTGATCACTGAAGCTGTCCAAAGTTTGAAGGAAGGTGTTCAACATTTGGAAGTCACTCATGTTAGATGGTCCCAAGTTGAAGAGTAATAGGCTATGGAGCGATTTTTGCATATATAATTTGTGAAAACTGATAAGCATGGGACACTATCTTATGACACTTTGGCAAGTAGGCAGCCATTTTGAAAAATGGCTTCTAACTTAGTGTGTGTTATTTTGCATATTAACTCGAAAAGTAGTGGACCTATTTTTTCATATTTGATATGTTGATACTCATAAGCATGGCACATTGGCCAGGTGGCCATTTTGAAAAGTGGCCTCTATTTTAAAGTCTTATTTTACTTTTTTACTAAAACTTGAAAAGTAGTTGAACGATTTTGAGATCAAAAGTTCGATGGGATTTGCTCCACCTCGCGTTGCTGTTATCTAGTTCTGAAATGTTTCATATCTATGTTTAATAAATATAGTTGTATATATGTGTTTGTAATAACCTATGCCCTTAAAATGTATATATTCAGGGGGGGGGGCATTCGTGGGTTCAAGTGGGCCACTCCATTGGCCAAATATTCTCTTAAAATCAGTACAATTTTTCACGATTCTGAGCATTTTCAAGATTTCTGGGCCACTTGAAAATTGTCAAATGTTCACCCCTTGATCCTTTTGAAAAACTTAAATTGGCAAAAGCTGGTTATACGAACCTGATATGACCTAGCTTGCAAGCTTTTTCATGAGTTTGTGTTTATTTTCGAACCCGGGCCTCCCGTGTGCTAAGCGAGCATTCTACCGCTAGACCACCGTGATATTATGAATGGTGGAAGTAATTAAACGCTACTTATTTTGAATGCTATGATTCGGAAGTGACGTCACTTAAAGTTCATCCCCGAAACAACCCAAGATTGCGTTTCGGGGCAAAGTCCAGCTTAAATATCTTTAACTCTCTTGGGACAGATTCTTAAGTTCTATACACAAAGTAATATTTCCAGCAACTTCATATGGACTGACAAATAGAAGGTCAAAGGGTTTTTATTATGTCCCCACCACGCATATTGTCGGCCTAGGCGCGTCCGTCCGTCTGTCTGTCCGTCTGTCCGTCCGTACGTCCGGGAGTTTTCTCCAAAACCGCTACAGATATCACCTTCAAATTTTCAGGGATAACTTATGAGTGCATACAGATGTGGATGAAAAAAAATTAACTCGATACCTACTTCCTGTCGGCCATTTTGAAGTCAAATGCTAAAATCCTTGTCTGCAAACTTTAAGAAAAACGGCTTCACAGTTGCTTTTAAAACTTTAACATCTTGTTCAGCTCACTTCATTCTAGATCTGATTAGGTTTTGGACCTGTTAGCTCAGTCATGTCAGCCATTTTGAATGTCTTAAGAAAAGTTAGCGCACGATAATACTTTGTATCATATTGAATGGTGTTTTTGAGTTTTCATATTCTAACTATTTAGTAGCTTTATAAATAATTTCAGATGTACTTTGTTGTTAAAGCCTATGTTGTTGTTAACAGTATTTATATGTGATAATTTTGTAAAAAGAAATCAGCAAAAACTCATGATCACTTTTTTATTGTCAGCCATTTTGGATTTTTCCGTCCTAAAATCTTGTCTGTGGAGTCTTGTCTACGTGTTTTCAGGTGAACCGTTTGGTGGATCAATTCTTGATTTTTAGGGATGATTCTTAGTATAAAAATCTAGATCTGATTAGTTTTTTGGCATTCTGGGTCAATGTCAAGGCAGCCATTTTGGATTTTCTGTCCTAAAATCTTGTCTGTAAAGTCTTGTCTACGCGTTTTCAGGTGAACTGTTTGGTAGATCAATTTCAATTTTTCAGGGATGATCCTTAATATGAAAATGTACAACTGATTAGTTTTTTGGCATTCTGGGTAATTGTCAAGGCAGCCATTTTGGATTTTCCGTCCTAAAATATTGTCTGTAAAGTCTTGTCTACGCATTTCCAGGTGAACAGTTCTGTAGATCAATTTCAAATTTTCAGGGATGATTCTTAGTATGAAAATCTAGATCTGATTAGTATTTGGGCATTCTGGGTAAATGCCAAGGCAGCCATTTTGGATTTTCCGTCCTAAAATCTTGTCTGTAGAGTTTTGTCTACGCATTTCCCGGTGAACCGTTTGGTAGATCAATTTCAAATTTTCAGGGATGATTCTTAATATGAAAATCTAGATCTGATCAGTTTTTTGGCATTCTGGATAAATGTCAAGGCAGCCATTTTGGATTTTCCGTCTAAAAATCCTGCCCGTAAAGTCTTGTCTATGCGTTTTTAGGTAAACCGTTTTGTAGATCAATTTCAAATTTTCAGGGATGATTCTTAGTATGAAAATCTAGATCTGATTAGTTTTTTGGCATTCTGGATAAATGCCAAGGCAGCCATTTTGGATTTTCCGTCTTAAAATCCTGCCCGTAAAGTCTTGTCTACGCGTTTTTAGGTGAACCGTTTTGTAGATCAATTTCAAATTTTCAGGGATGATTCTTAGTATGAAAATCTAGATCTGATTAGTTTTTTGGCATTCTAGGTAAATTTTAAGGTGGCCATTTTGGATTTTCCGTCATCAAATTGTGTCGGTAAAGTCTTGTCTACTCATTTTTAGGATAACCATTTGACAGGATCACCCATAGGTGGGGACATTTTGTACACATTTGTGTTCTTGTAAAAATATATTTCAAAAATTCTTGACACGCTGTAAGTCGTAGGTTGCAGGGTCGAAGGGTTTTTAGTACATTCCAGAAAATACTTGTCAAAAAGCGAATCACTTCTTTGGGACACTGGTATATCTTATTCAGAAGATCTACCCATGCCTAGGGTTAGCAGTTAGCTAGATCAACAAGTTAAACCTTGCTGACCTTATTTCTTATCTGACATCCGTCGTTGTTGTTGCCTAACCGATTCTGCCCCAAGGGAATTCAGATTTATAAATTTAGCCAGATTTTGGTTTAATTTATTAAACCTGCTGCTTAAGCCTGCTAGCATGAGTTCTACCTTTAAGTGTCTGCTAATGATTATGCACTTGAACTTGTATTGGGCAAATATAACATGAAACCATGGACCTCTGTCAGTAGAACATTTTCTGTTAATTTCTTAGGTATTTGCGGTGCGGTCAGGGGGCGCTGCCGGTGTGGTTGTCAAGGGACCAGATGACAAGACTAGCCTTAGCTTCAGGTAACAGACTCATTTGTAACCACTTGTTCTTCCTATCTTTGTTAGTCAAGGTATCCAAGGTTTATTCTTTGTAATATGCTTGTCTATAGCATAATTCTTATGACATCTCGCATTGCTCCATTTGCAGCACAGCTGGGTGGTTTTCTGTGAAAAGAATCACATATTCTTTAAGTCTGATTGAATAATTTTAAGTGGAACATAGAAATTAATATCCTTTGTAGTAAACTTTGATATGCTGAACTGACTCAATATAAAAAAGAATTAAGATTGAATTCTTTAATATTTTAGGATGGAAGACAGGGGGAGTGTAATATCTATTAAATTTTCCTATGATATGAAAGTCCTGGCAGTTCAGAGATCACAAAAATCTGTGGTGAGTTTCAAAAATCTACACAATTTGCATTAAAAAAAAACCTGTGTATAAATGATCGAGCCAGAGGTTATTGATGCTAGGCCTTTACCATCAGGGTACTATGAATTATATAATCATTTAATAGATACCCTAAACTATGTTTATTAAAAAATATTATCTTCCAGGAGTTCGTCAACTTCACCAATGGCAACATTGATACAATGGAATACTCACAGACCTGTAAGGTGAGCAAATAAAACTATTCATTTTGCTTTTTAATTTTTTTATTTGTTCAATAATTAGACTCCAGATTGAAAATCTGGAGTCTATTGCTTTTGCCTGTTTTCTTCTTATTCTTATTCTTATTATTCTTCCTCTACCCACGTTTTCTCGCTAACTAGAAGAGCTTACTTTAATCTGCCTACATGGCTAACATAGCTCAGTAACCTAGTTTCTCGGAAATTAGGTCAAATTTTTATCTAGGTCAAAGGTCAAGAACTAGGTCACGTCCTACATTTTCAACATTCTGACATTTATCTTCCTACATCTTTCATCTAACTCCTTCATCTTACTTCCATCATGTAGCTTAGAAAAAGCCCTTTCATAAGTGTGCCATCAGATTTTTGATTACTCTTACCGATTTTGAGATATGGCGTCCAGAAAGTAGGTCAGAACAAAAAATTCTCCAAATTCAACATGTGAGTTATGAAATAAGTGTAGAAGTGTAGGAAGTTATGGCGTTTTGAAAGCTCAAAAATCGCTAAATTTGGTGCCTATGTTAAGTCAATGGGAAAAAAGACTTTTTCGAAGTGTAAAATACAAGATATAGACTGAGTACAGCTTAACATAATGAATGGTTATAAAAAAGGGGACCTCAAAAGCTACATAGCTTCAAAATTTGGACACTAAAATGCCTAGGTCAAAATCTAGGTCAAATTCATTAGTTTTCCTTATTTTTACGATTCTGACACTACACTTTAATAATTTACTTCAAAATTTTGTATACAGGTAGCAAAGAGTGTGCTTATAGTGTTAGCCTTTTGCCGTCAGAAGGTATTTTGACCCACTTTTGAGATATGGTGTCTAAAAAGTAGGTCAAAATAAAAAGTTCTCCAAATTTAACATATGAGCTATGAACTAAGGGTAGAATTTTCCCAGAAATCCGAATCTGCAAACCAAATTTCAATCCGACTTTCAGTTCGGAAGTTATGGCGTTTTGAAAGCTCAAAAATCGCTGAATTTGGTGCCCCATGTTATGTCAATGAGAAAAAAGATTTTTTTGAAGTGTAAAATACCAGATATAAACTGAGTACAGCTTAACATTATGAAAGCCTATAAAAGAAGGGGACCTCGAAGGCTATCTAGCTTTAAAATTTGGACACCAAAATGACTAGGTCAAAATCTAGGTCAAATTCATAGTTTTTCCTTATTTTTGCGATTCTGACATTACACTTTAATGATTTGTTTCGAAATTTTGTATACAGGTAGCAAAGAGTGTGCTTATAGTGTTAGCCTTCTGCCGTCAGAAAGTATTTTGACCCACTTTTGAGATATGGTGTCTGAAAAGTAGGTCAAAATAAAAAGTTCTCCAAATTTAACGTATGAGTTATGAATTAAGGGTAGAATTTTCTCAGGAATCCGAATCTTTAAACCAAATTTCGATCCAACTTCTGATTAGATACTTATAGCAGTTTGAAGTCTCGAAATGATATGCGATATGATGATATCCCCATGTTAAGCCAATGGAGTCGAAGATAACATTCTTAAGAGTTGTCTAAATGTCTATATTCTAGCTGACTCAGCTTATTCTGAATGACTCAGCTTACAAGTATTTGGATGACTCAGCTTAAAAAAAGTCTGAAATCTGGAGTCTTAAATTGAACTTGTTCAATTTACATGTCTAGTTATGCACTCTTTTTATATTTTGTGTGACTTTTGAAATAAGATTGAGGTCAATTAAATCAAAGCCTTGTGTTAAAATGTATTAGTGAAGTGATTTTGTGTTTGCAATTCATGAATTCCCCATCATAAGATGAACTGAATGCTGCATCCTGTTGAAATTCTGACAATTGCTTAACTCCCTGTTGAATTGTCTGTTGCCAAAAGGGTATAATACTAATATATTTTGGCATATTGTTGAGAAAAAATTCTGAGAAAGTCATAGACAGATTGTTTTTATATGTTTCAGGGCAAGAGTACTAGAATAATAGGGTTTAACTGGACCAATATCAATGAAGTTGTGTTCATTACAGATCATGGCATTGAGTTCTACCAGGTTTGTATGTTTATGTAGTAACATTTTGAAATTGACCACTTGAGTATAAACACTGGAGTCATACCAGATCTTCAACAAACACTCAAAGAATTTCCAAATTTTTATTTATTTGAAGGAATGAAACATGTATATATCCAAAATATACTTGATAAGCAAACATGATAGAAGTCAATAGAGAAAACCATAATAGTTCAGTATATCCTGATATCATATAGATGGCAGAGCTGATCAAAAAATATAATTGACAGACCACTAACACCATCTTTCAATTTAAAAGATGTACATCATAACACTAAAAAAGGGCTTAAAAATGTTTTTCTTTACATGAAACCTCATTACAGTTAACCATTGAATTCAATTAATCATTGAATTTGTGTAAATCCACGTTTTAACTTTCCTATTTCTGTTGAATGCTTCAGGTGATTCCTGAAACTTAACTTAATGTTCCAATCAAATGTAAAGGTGCATTTATAATGAAAGTGAAAGTGTTTGATTGTTGTTTGGATTTCCCTGACTTAAATAGTTACATACTGGTACAACCTTCAATTTATAAACGGTGAATACAACTAGAAACCTCATTAAAGTTAACCATTGAATTCAATTTATCATTGAATTTGTGTAAATATATATTTTAACTTTCCTATTTCTGTTGAATGCTTCAGGTGGTTCCTGAAAAGCGAAGTTTAAAGTCCCTGAAGACATTTAGTGTCAGCGCAAACTGGTTTGTATGGCTGGTAAGCATCTTTCTTTTCATGTAAATGGGTTAATATATGAATTTTTGGAAATGAAGTCATTTATAGATATTCAGAATGCCCTTCTTCACAAGGCCCTTGTCATTTATTTTAAAGGTGTAATTTATTTAATTTTTATCCCTCCTTTGAAAACAAAATGACTAATAATCATATGTCCAGTATCAAAATTGTATTGCATTTTTGAAATTAAGGAACATCTTTAATTTATATTTTTATATATTTGTCTTTTGCAGCCAGAAAGTGCAGTTCTACTGTTATCAGCTGGTCCCTATGGAAACAGTATACATCCATTTCATTTTCGGGTGAGTTTTCAATTGAAATGTCATAGTATTATACAACAAACATTTATCAGTAAAACTTGTGAATGCAGAACACTTTTGACACCTCAAATATGTTATACTTGGAAGGTGTTCTCATAGAGGTTCATTTTAAATTAAGTTAATGAGAATGGTACTTTAGTTTTCCACATATGGAGGTGTTCTACTTTACAGGTTCTTCTGTGTATTGAACTTGGAAATATATTAATCATTACACTAAGTTTCATCATGATGTTTTTCTAGGCTGGTATGGTCTATAAGTTGCCTAAGTTTGAAATAGACATCCCTGTGATTCCAAAACCTGCCAAACTGTGCCTCTTAGAGAGAGATGTCTTCATGGCCAACATGTAAGTACAGTGAAACCTGTATATCCAAATACCTGTCTAATCCAAACATTTCTTAATGTGAACACATATTTTCAGTTCCAAATTTATTATCTTGCATATTTTACTCACGTATATTTTGAATTGTGAACACCTGCTAATTGGTAAATTTCCAGTAGGGTTTGGATGAGACAGGTTTTACTGTAAATAGTCAAATCACTAATGGGTTTCTAACATGGTGATAGTTCACGATCATATATATTCTTAGATTTGTTTTCTCTCATTGGGACTCACATTTTTTGCTGATGTTTGCCTTCTATTTATTTGTAAAGCTCATTGTACCATGACATGACCTTAGCTTGAATCAAATTTTTCTTTTGGGGGGGGTTCTATGTCTAATAATTTCTGCAAGTTTGTGGTCTGTTATAGGCTTGAGCTATTTATTTTGCTGACATATCCAGAGAGCGGTTAAATCGTAAAATTTAAAAGGATTTAAATAGGCCTTTTTGAAAGGCAAGGGCGAAATTGAATAAATATGCCCTTAAATGTTCCAAATGAAAGAACTTAGTCAAAAACTGGGATATTTCACCAAAGTTTTTTTCCAAGTTTGGGGTGTTATGTGTTATTGGTGGATTAAAGATTGGAGCCAATGGGAGAAATAAATGCATGGTTTGTACATAGATTGATGAATATGTTGTTAACATGTGCTATTAATTCAAATTCAAATATATGGTCCAGTTGATTTGTTTTTTTCACTTAAATCATTCATGAATTGAAGAAGTAATTCTTTTTTATTGTTATTTTGTCAATTTTCATCAAATTTTCACTGAACAATTGTTATTATTTTAGTTATGGACAACTATACATAGTAGTAGTACGTCACCAGGCCAAGGCAGGGGCTCCAGGGGCAGAAGTGGTTCTTTATTTATTGCAGAAGTGAGTACATTACGTTCATGTACAATATGTTCATTTTATTGTATGCGTCCAAGTTTCTATCCTCATATTGTACAGGTACAATATGTAAATCATTATGCTGTACATAATGTATGTACATGCACATATGTATTTTCTTACATTCCATTTACAATATGTAAATCCTTATATTGTACATGTTCAAAAATACATCTCTTACCAAACTGAGCCTTTTTGTTATATTCTTCAATTCAAAAAGGAAAAATGGAATATTCAGTGTCACCTTTCAGATTAAAGTCATTTCTTTTTACTTTTTGTTTTCTGATTTCAAGGGAGAGTCCAGCAAGGAAAACTGATGTCCTTAGATTGGATATGAGTGGAAGATTTGCACTTCATATTGTGGATAACTTGGTTGTTGTACATCATCAAGCTTCAAAGGTAAACAGTTTTTTAAATCAAGCTTCAAAGGTAAACAGTTTTTTAAATCAAGCTTCAAAGGTAAACAGTTTTTTAAATCAAGCTTCAAAGGTAAACAGTTTTTTAAATCAAACTTCAAGGGTAAACAGTTTTTTAAATCAAACTTCAAGGGTAAACAGTTTTTTAAATCAAACTTCAAAGGTACACAGTTTTTTTAAATCAAGCTTCTAGGGTAAACAGTTTTTTAAATCAAACTTCAAGGGTAAACAGTTTTTTAAATCAAACTTCAAAGGTACACAGTTTTTTTAAATCAAGCTTCTAGGGTAAACAGTTTTTTTAAATCAAGCTTCTAAGGTAAACATTTTTTGTCTACAGCCTTATGTACGTAGAGAACGGTTCATGTGTTATATGGTGATATTGTGTCTTACATGTTTGTATTTATTATTGCTTATTGTTTTTATTTTTATACTTTCAGACATCTATGATATTTGACATTAAATTAGATGGGGAGTCAGATGGTTATGTCACATATCATCATCCAGTTCTCTCTCCTCTTCCTATGAAACCAAGCATCATTAGGCCAGTAGGTGAGGAGAGTTTGCGAAGACCAATTTTCATCTGTAAATAAAATTGGAAATGGTTTCTGAATCTAGAGCAATTAAAATGGAACTATATTTAAACTATAATTAATTCAACACTTACGTGTGTTTCAGATGCCCCTTTAGGAGCAGAACTGGTGGAGTGTGAACTCTGTATCCTTTTATATACTCATGAATTAATATGTATTCTAAATTAACAGTGAGTGATAACTCATATCTGATGATTCATATCTTTGACATAGTCCTATCTCATAGAACACAGTATTCTTTAACTCACTTGAAGATTCTCAGAGTTGGATTGTATTTCAACCAAATGTCGTCATTGATGCTAAATTGGGTGAGTGCATTAAATCCATCATCCAATCACAATCGGTTTATAGTTCAGCATTTTAACAAAATAATGTATCATTATATAGTACCAGTAATTCAGAGTGATATGATGCATTCAAAACACTTCACTTTTTCTATGTAGCCCTATGTTGATTATCCATCAACATTTATATTACACACACTTGTAGATTCTGAAAATGCAAATTTTGCCTTTAGGTTGCCTGTGGTACGTGCAGTTGAAGCTAGAGCCTCTAGTTACAATGATTCCTGACAAGGTATTGTAAATATTTAGAATAATACAATAATACCTGTTAGGTTGAACAATTGTGTAAGCGTAACACCTATAGGTACCCAAGGTGTTCACAAAATTAATAAAAATAGATGGCATCAGTATTTCCATGTAAGCATTGACATTGTTTATTTCTTTCCCATGATGAACAGAATGAACAGAATTAGGAAGAAAAAGAACTTAGTTTGATTAATGTACTATTAATGTACACTGGCTTGTATTCCATTATGTACATGCTTTGTTATTTACAATGTAAATGTACTTTTATTTTGGAATGTAAATGTATTTGTAATATGTCATGTAAATGCCTTGTTGTTTACATGATTTCCAGTGTAAACTAATAGACCTATTGCTCTTGAGACGTGACTGCAAGATGGTGATCCTGACAGTTTGCAAGCAAATGTTGACGCCAGGAACACAGACCAACCTGTCAACAATTGCAAGGATATTTGATAAACTCAACAAAGTCTATCGACAGTTTCTTGATATAGAGTCACAAAATCAGGTGAGATTTTAAGTCATTATCAGAAGAATTTTCAAGAAAATATTGTTACATGTAGAATCCGTACATGTACCATTTCACCAACTTGGATTATTGCTGAAAGTTATTAAAAGGTTACTTATACTACATTATGGCGGCTCCAGACAAATCTACTGGATCAGTCAATTTTTAAGAAGATATGTGAGTTTGATAAATTCAGGTTAATTGAAATCGTCTCCCTTAAAATAAAATCATCCATAAATATTGGGAGGTTGAGAGGATGATGCAAGAGCCAATATAAACCCTGGTAATAGTCCTAACCATTTTGTTTTATTCATAGGAAAAGATTTATCCATTACACACAAATAGAAGATCCTGAAACATCACCAATAAAGGTGAACTTTGTGAAAATAAAAATATCCCTTTTACAAATTCTTACATGATTGTATTTCCCTTTAAACAGTAGACTACATTAGCATGACTATTTGAGATTTCAAAATGGTCATACTTTTAGACATTGACTAACTTTCTATTTGGCTAATATTTTAATATTTTCTGGTTCCCTATTTATTTCAGCAAATGGAGACATTTTCTAGTCGAGAGCCAACTGCGACGCGTGTCCAGCACAATCCAGCCGTGATTGACCAATCAGACATGTACACACATGTTTTTTCTGTATTCGTGGATAATAAGGTATTGGAATTAATTTTTATAATTATAATCAACTGATGCACTGGGGATCAACTGGAGACAAAGACTTAATTATTTGTTTCAGATGGCCAAACTTCCGGTAGAAGAATTTGGTAATAATTTTTGTTCTTGATTTTGTCACCTTTATCTATCAGATTTTAACTTAATTATGTAGTGCATAGGTTCCACTTATGCAATATGATTGCATCTCAGATATAGATGAAGTAAATATTTCAATATTTACAAATTAGTTTCTTTGCATGGGAAACAAAGAGCTTTTTCTATTTTGTAGTTTAATTATCCCATCGAACGAAGTTCGGAGGGATATAGGGAATGCCTCCGTCCATCCGTACGTACGTCCGTCCGTACATCCGTCCGTACGTCCGTCCGTCCGTACGTATGTCCGTCCATCCGTATGTACGTCCGTCCATCCGTCCGGGCAATAACTCAAATACTTGTAGCCCGATTTTGTTCATATTTTGTACACATATACCCTATGGCTGTAGAAGTTCTGCTCAAAAGCCGATTTTCAAAATGGCGGCCATTTTAGTGCCGGTTTTACATTGATTTAGGTGCAATATGTAAAACTGTAATAGCAATATGTTTTAAATTTAAAAACATTATATAGGACATTGATAAAGTTAGAAATGTAGATATTTAAGAAGCACATGGCAGCCATCTTGAAAAATGGCAGCCTTTACTCGTTAATTTACGATTTTTGCTGTAACTCAAGAAGTAGTGGAGCGATTTTGTTCATATTTGGTATGTGAATACTATAAGCAACGCTTACTGTCTAATGACACTTTTGGTAGAAGGCGGCCATTTTTTAAAATGGCCGCCATTTAAACGTATTTTACTCGGCCTTTACTTGTTATTTTACTATTTTTGCTGTAACTTGAAAAGAAGTGGAGCGATTTTGTTCATATTTGGTATGTGAATACTATAAGCATGGCACACTGTCTAATGACACTTTTGGTAGAAGGCGGCCATTTTTTAAAATGGCCGTCATTTAAACGTATTTTACTCGGCCTTTACTTGTTATTTTATGATTTTTGCTGTAACTTGAAAAGTAATGGAGCGATTTTGTTCATATTTGGTATGTGAATACTATAAGCATGGCACACTGTCTAATGACACTTTTGGTAGAAGGCGGCCATTTTGAAAAATGGCCACCATTTTAAAGTATTTTACTATAACTCGAAAAGTAGTTGAGCGATTTTGTTCATATTTGGTATGTGAATACTATAAAAAAAAGAAGCATATTACTTCTTCTGATGAAAACTTGGCTAGTAAGCAACCATTGTGGTGGCCTTTCTTATGTGTGTTATTTTATGATATTTGCTATATATTTCGTTTGTAAAAATGTCCATCTCAGAAACATTGCTAAATTCTTGTTTTTAGAAATATTAAAGACTCACTTAACCAGTCAGCACACTAAATCATTATTGTAGCAAAAATGATACGAAGACATGTTTTATTTACAACGAAGACATTCATTTTATTTGGGTATTTATCAAAGTAGTAATATTCCTATGGAGGGTCACATTTGCGTTTGGAAGAACATTGTAGATTTTTGACTCTTCGTTATCCCTTTAATTTGTACTTCAGATATTGAAATGTGCTGTCTTTGCTTCAAACTTTCTTCATTTCCTAAGCGAGGGAATTGTTTTGTAATTATCCAACAATTACGGATGTATTTCTTAGCTATAACAATATTTCCAAAGCAGAAGCTATGCACTACAAACAGGCCAAATATTTAGTTGAAATTTGAAAATTTCTGAAAACAATCAACCGGAAGCGCAACCATGCTAAAACAAAGACATCATGTCTATGTTTCCAGTTGATCCCTAGTGATATGATGAATTACATGATATTGGTGTTAAATGAATTGTCATTGAATTTGTCATTCTCTCATATGTTTTTTTTATTTATTTATTTTGGCTTAAGGATATCAAGCACAAGTTTATGGTTGCAGTTCTCATAGAATACATCAGGTCACTTAACCAGTTCCAGATTCCTGTTCAGGTTTGTTTGTTTGTTTATTAATCGTTTGTTAATCTTAAGTATTCAATTTTACATAAGGAAAATGATTCTGTCTTTGTTAGAACAAAACTTTACTAAGAATGTTATGTTGTTCATATTTTAATTGCAGATTAAAGCCACTTGTCAATAACTGGAAATATCTGAACTCTGACCTAAAATGATTTCTCTGACCGCTCCATATCTACTTTTAAGTGACCCGTGTTATTTTGTTCATATTTTTTATTGCAGCACTACCTTTATGAGTTGGTCATCAATACTTTAGTGCAGCACAATTGTTTCTATCAACTTCACCAGTTCCTGCAGTATCACGTCCTTAGTGACTCAAAGCCTATAGTAAGTTTAAAGCCACTTGTTTTAATACCAATTCCTGCAGTATCATGTCCTTAGTGACTCAAAGCCTATAGTAAGTTTAAAGCCACTTGTTTTAATACCAATTCCTGCAGTATCATGTCCATAGTGACTCAAAGCCTATAGTAAGTTTAAAGCCACTTGTTTTAATACCAATTCCTGCAGTATCACGTCCTTAGTGACTCAAAGCCTATAGTAAGTTTAAAGCCACTTGTTTTAATACCAATTCCTGCAGTATCATGTCCTTAGTGACTCAAAGCCTATAGTAAGTTTAAAGCCACTTGTTTTAATACCAATTCCTGCAGTATCATGTCCTTAGTGACTCAAAGCCTATAGTAAGCTTAAAGCCTCATAGTTTTACCCTTATAGTAAATTCAAGTGTTGAGATTAAAGTATTATGTGCCCTTAAGGGACTTGCTTTTCTATAATAATGTACAAAATGATAAAAGTTAAAAGCAATCAGGATAGACACAAATTTAAACATTGATTTTCCACTTGTTGAGCTTCCAATCCTTTTCATAATTAAATACATAAAGCAATCCTTCCTGCAGTATCCTATCATGTCCTTAGTGACTCAAAGCCTATAGTAAGCTTAAAGCCTCATAGTTTTACCCTTATAGTAAATTCAAGTGTTGAGTTTAAAGTATAATGTGCCCTTAAGGGACTTGCTTTTCTATAATAATGTACAAAATGATAAAAGTTAAAAGCAATCAGGATAGACACAAATTTAAACATTGATTTTCCACTTGTTGAGCTTCCAATCCTTTTCATATTTAAATACATAAAGCAATCCTTGAATCTCTACTATTGCACCAATGTTGCAGGATTGTATTTCACTTGTTGAGCTTCCAATCCTTTTCATATTGAAATACATAAAGCAATCCTTGAATCTCTACTATTGCACTAATGTTGCAGGATTGTATTAAATAAATATCATACTGTTGTTTCAGGCATGTTTGGTGTTATCCCTTGAAAGTGTCTATCCTCCCACTAATGTTGCAGGATTGTATTAAATAGATATCATACAGTCATACTATTGTTCCAGGCATGTCTGCTGTTATCCCTTGAAAGTGTCTATCCTCCCACTAATGTTGCAGGATTGTATTAAATAAATATCATACTATTGTTCCAGGCATGTCTGCTGTTATCCCTTGAAAGTGTCTATCCTCCCAATTATGTTGCAGGATTGTATTAAATAAATATCATACTATTGTTCCAGGCATGTCTGCTGTTATCCCTTGAAAGTGTCTATCCTCCCAATTATGTTGCAGGATTGTATTAAATAAATATCATACTATTGTTCCAGGCATGTCTGCTGTTATCCCTTGAAAGTGTCTATCCTCCCAATTATGTTGCAGGATTGTATTAAATAAATATCATACTGTTGTTCCAGGCATGTCTGCTGTTATCCCTTGAAAGTGTCTATCCTCCCAATTATGTTGCAGGATTGTATTAAATAAATATCATACTATTGTTCCAGGCATGCCTGCTGTTATCCCTTGAAAGTGTCTATCCTCCCACTAATGTTGCAGGATTGTATTAAATAAATATCATACTATTGTTCCAGGCATGTCTGCTGTTATCCCTTGAAAGTGTCTATCCTCCAGCTCATCAACTAGCCCTAGATATGCTCAAGGTGAAGTACATTTTCAATACTCTGTAGTTAAGGAAGGAAATAGAAAAGCTGTCAAACAGTCTAGTTGTCTGTGCAGGCAATAACTCATATTCTGGTCTTGTTAAAATTTAATATAGGCTGATACCTTACGTACAGACACCTTGCGTATAGGGTTAACCTCTCTGACTAATACTGTTTTACTGCTTTGCTGCTATAGTCCTATTATTTTTGGCTGAGAGGTGCCATTTTATTAGATAGAGTTCATCTCATCTCATCTGCAGTTCCTGTTAAGTTGTTTGATGTGCGGATTTTAGGCTCAAAGTTTTATATTTACAGTAATCATGTTTATTATGTCACCACCAAAAGTGGTGACATATTGTTATGGTCTCCGTTTTTTGCGACGGCGGTTGGTGGTTGGCGGTTGGTGGTTGGTGGTTGGAGGTTGGCGTCCGGCGTCTGTAACAATTTCTTACAACTTCCTATAACTTAACAAATACTGTTTAGACTGACTTCAATTTTTTTCTAAATCATCTACATGTTCTCAGAAGTTCAAATCTGACTTTAGATTTGACATTTGACCTTCAATGACCTTCTCAAGGTCAAAAAGGTCTTTTTTCAACTTGCTTCACATTGACTAAATTTTTTTTCAAAATCATCTACATGTTCTCAGAAATTCAAATCTGACTTTAGATTTGACTTTAGATTTGACTTTAGATTTGACATTTGACCTTCAAATCTGACTTTAGATTTGACATTTGACCTTCAAATCTGACTTTAGATTTGACATTTGACCTTCAATGACCTTCTCAAGGTAAAAAAATGTCGAAAAGGTCTGTTTTCAACTTGCTTCAAATTGACTAAATTTTTTTTTCAAAATCATCTACGTGTTCTCAGAAATTCAAATCTGACTTAAGATTTGACATTTGACCTTCTCAAGGTCAAAAAAGGTCAAAAAGGTCTGTTTTCAACTTGCTTCAAATTGACTAAAAAAAATTTCAAAATCATCTACGTGTTCTCAGAAATTCAAATCTGACTTTAGATTTGACTTAAGATTTGACATTTGACCTTTAATGACCTCCTCAAAGTCAAAAAGGTCAAAAAGGTATTTTTTCAACTTGCTTCAAATTGACTAAATTTTTTTTTCAAAATCATCTACATGTTCTCAGAAATTCAAATCTGACTTAAGATTTGACATTTGACCTTCAAATCTGACTTTAGATTTGACATTTGACCTTCAATGACCTTCTCAAGGTCAAAAAAGGTCGAAAAGGTCTGTTTTCAACTTGCTTCAAATTGACTAAATTATTTTTTCAAAATCATCTACGTGTTCTCAGAAATTCAAATCTGACTTAAGATTTGACATTTGACCTTCTCAAGGTCAAAAAAGGTCAAAAAGGTCTTTTTCAACTTGCTTCAAATTGACTAATTTTTTTTTCAAAATCATCTATATGTTCTCAGAAATTCAAATCTGACTTTAGATTTGACATTTGACCTTTAATGACCTTCTCAAGGTCAAAAAAGGTCAAAAAGATCTGTTTTCAACTTGCTTCAAATTGACCAAATTCTTTTTTCAAAATCATCTACATCTTTTCAAAAGTTCAAATTTGACTTTACAAGTTCTCAGAAGTTCAAATCTGACTTTAGATTTGACTTTTGACCTTCAATGACCTTCTCAAGGTCAAAAGGTATTTTCCAACTTGCTTTAAATTGACCAAATTGTTTTAGGTGGTGACATTTTGTCATGTTAATGCCTTGTTTATAATTATTATTCATGCCACATATTCAGTGCCTCAAACTCTATGAATCACCCCTTGTTGCCAAGCTGCAACATGAATTTCCAACAGGAGTGTATAACTGACCAGACTAATAGACATATGTCTTCTCTGAACCCTGGTGGGGTTTCCCCCCTCTTTTACATCCTGATACATCCATGACCTAAAAGTAAAGTCAAGGTTGTCAAACATTTGATGAAGTAGCATGGTTGAGTTGGATTATTCTTTATATACACCATATTGTTGGTGTTTAGAAAATGCATGTATCTAAAGTTATATTTTATGTCTCCATGTAATTGCAGAGACTGTCTACAGCCAATGAAGAAATTATAGAAGTTTTGTTGTCCAAGCAGCAGCTACTTACAGCTATTAGGTAATACATGTACATTCTAGCTAGTCTTAGGGTACCAACTACATGTATAGTGTCTGTCTAATTGAGATGAATTGTGCTTTCTGAAATTGGCCATGCCCCTTTATCATGCTCCTTTGTCACGCCTCCATGCCATGTCCCTTTGTCACGCCTCCATGCCATGTCCCTTTGTCACGCCTCCATGCCATGTCCCTTTGTCACGCCTCCATGCCATGTCCCTTTGTCACGCCTCCATGCCATGTCCCTTTGTCACTCCTCCATGCCATGTCCCTTTGTCACGCCTCCATGCCATGTCCCTTTGTCACTCCTCCATGCCATGTCCCTTTGTCACTCCTCCATGCCATGTCCCTTTGTCACTCCTCCATGCCATGTCCCTTTGTCACTCCTCCATGCCATGTCCCTTTGTCACTCCTCCATGCCATGTCCCTTTGTCACTCCTCCATGCCATGTCCCTTTGTCACGCCCCTTTGCCTGGCTATATTGTATATTTACTTGCATAGTTTATTATTTATAAATAGGAAACTTTGTTGAAAATGAGACAAGTAAAATGGGTATTTCAATGCAGCAAATTGTATTAATTTATATGTGGGTTCTTATATGTAAAATGAGAACAGGCCCCTCTACCCTTTCTAACCTGTTATATACTTTCCAGGTTTGTTCGCAGTGTTGGAGCTGTGGATCAGGTATCAGCACGGAAGTTTCTAGAGGCAGCTCTAGTTGGCCAGGATAGTATGCTGTTCTACACTGTCTTTAAATTTTTTGAACAAAGAAACAGCCGTTTACGAAATAATCCAAGATTTGCACCAGGTACACATATTAAATTTATGTGTTATTTGACACAAGATGCCTTTCAATATTAACCCCTTACCTTTTAAATTATCAATAGACTAGATGCAAGTAGAAATAATCTTGATTTACATCATTAAAAATTCAAAAAATATTTAATAAGTGTTTATCAACTTTTAATTTAATTTTCTTTGAAAATGTGACTTCTAGGTTCTGGGAGATTCCCCATAGACCCCATGTTATAAAATCACAAAAGTGAAATATCTTTTCCTGTATTGGACAGACATATTCTTTTACTGGACATATTTTAATTTGTATAACTATCAGATACATAAGGGTAATATGAAAAGTGAACCATTAAAATGGATGGATATTCAAGTTTAAGAGAACTTTCTAATACCCTGCCTTTCTAATACCCTGCCATGTTTTCTGCCTGAATTAGCCACCTGGTAGTGAAACTAGTAACTACCTTCTGGCATCTGGGTTATTGAATAATGTTATTTTGACACAAAATAGAGTGCAATATTAATGTGAGTGCTGTGTAAGTGCTTGACATAATGTTTTGAGCCAATTGGCATCTGATTATATGTACATTAGTATAGGAAAATGTAGAACAGTATAGCATGAAAAATGCTCCATAATTCAATTTTGCAGTTTTGCATTTTGCTCAACATATTACAAAATTGGATTTATTGAGGTTCAGGCTTACAGTGTGAGGTATCATGTTGGTAAGAAATAATTCAAAATATGTCGTCAAGAAAGAATAGACGTAACAATTCATTAAGAAATACATTTTTGATGATTTATTTTAGTGGATTGTAATCTGAAGTATACTATAACTAGCAAATGTTGCAGCATTGTATTAACATGGTAGTGGATGCACTGGTGCATTCAGGGGAGGAGGGCAGATATTTGTACCCAAAATTTTGAGGGGCCTCAACTAAGTTAGTCTTTTTGGGGCTTATTTTTCATTTTAGGCCAATTTATCACTAAATTGGCCTTAAATTTTCTGGTTTAAGGAGCCCAGAATTTATTTTTTTTGAAATGTGGGCCCTCCACCCTGTTAGCTTCCAGATTCACCACTTGTATGTATGCATCATCTCTGAGACTAATTGTAATAAGATACAAGATATCAAGTACTCTCTTAATGCTTACTTATTGTTGTAGGAAGAGGTCAATGGATGTATAGTATAGTTCTTACAGGACGTAATTTATGTATAAGTATCTCCTAAATGGTTGTTATGGGAACAATTTGAAGTCATTAGTTGATTTATTTGATAAAGTGCCTGCAAGCATAAGTGGTTCTGTAAGCAAGTGTTCCATGTTCAATTACAATCTGTATCTTTTTTTCCAGGAGAACACTGTGATCAATATGTGAAACACTTTGAAGAAGTCTTTGGTACAGAAGCCCTGGCTTTACCTATGGTCACCTAGCACATGATGAATAGCATATGGACAATATGTGAAACACTTTGAAGAAGTCTTTGGTACATAAGCCCTGGCTTTACCTATGGTCACCTAGCACATGATGAATAGCATATGGACAATATTACATGATGAATGGCATATGGACAATATGTGAAACACTTTGAAGAAGTCTTTGGTACAGAATCCCTGGCTTTACCTATGGTCACCTAGCACATGATGAATAGCATATGGACAATATTACATGATGAATGGCATATGGACAATATGTGAAACACTTTGAAGAAGTCTTTGGTACATAAGCCCTGACTTTACCTATGGTCACCTAGCACATGATGAATAGCATATGGACAATATGTGAAACATTTGGAAGAAGTCTTTGGTACAGAAGCCCTGAATCAATTTACCTAAAGGAAACCTACATTTACTTTACATATATTAACTGGAAAATCTATGTAGCAAGCATAACAAAATGTATAAAGACTCTTGGTTAAAAAAATGTTGGTCAATTGCTATCATTCAGTTCATGTTCACTGACTGTAAAGTATGAAATTATAACATGTGCTTTTGTTATGTTTATAAACATGAATATTATCCCATAAAGCATCACTATTAGCTGATTGAATACGGATTTGATTGACAAGCCTAATGGATGTGACTTGCCTTATAAGGTCTAGTAAGCAGCCATGTGGTTCAGAAAGTCTGTCTTTAAACAATACTGTCTAATTATCCATAGCATGTGAGGCAATGTATTTTGTGAGTATTGTTCAGTCTTTGGTATTGGCGTTTGTCATCTGTAACACATGTTACACTATTGTAATTTCCACCAGTTGGTGACAATTCGTTATGTAGTGTAGATAGTATCATAGGGAATACACATGTTACACATCTCGTGCAAAGATTGAACACCTCATCTAATAATCAGTCCACAATAAGTCCAGGGCTTAAATACTTAAATATATTGTAATTTATTATTTTAAGGCAGTGCAATCGTTGTACATATTTTATATTTATGTAAATAAACCTCATATAATTTTTTTCAATATATGCAATGTTTTCATGTCATTGTTGAAACGCATTTGTATGTATATAGGTATATCTGATAAATAATACATCATTTCGAACTTCATTGATAACTTATAGCTAGCAATACAAAGTGATAAAGGGATAGTATGGTTTCTCAATTTTCCCACAAGTGGACGCATGTTTTTTTTCATACGAAATTATTGAATGTACACGTCTACCTTGTCACACCGGGCCACGGTTGTACTAAAAGTAAGTTAAATTCAGTAAGTTAAAATTATTTTAAATTATTTCATCAATTTTCAAATTATCGCTATGTTACAAGCATGTTATATGACCCTCACTATTTCGTTCTCTTTGTAACAATAACAAAAAACTATATTTAAACATATAATTTGTCAATATGCGTTCACTGAAAATATTTCAATTCGATCTACTTTTTAATTTGTCAATATGCGTTCACTGAAAATATTTCAATTCGATCTACTTTTTAATTTGATGAAAAGGTCTCAAATGTGTAGCAATTGTTGCAGACACCAAATGACATAGCCTTGCCCAAGTCGGTCTCTTTTACTTATCTTGATTTCTATTATGACCGCGGTAATAATTCAAGATCAGGGCCCCGTTTTTGTACCGTTCGTAGTAACGAACGTTCGTAAGTCCATTGTTTAATTTGCGAATTTCGCAAAGTTGCATTTTCGTAAGATTCGTAAAGTTTTCGTAACTTTACGAAAATAGTGACGTCATGCCTGTTTTCGTTCGTAGATTTAATACCACCTCTGACCCTTTCGTAACTTTACGAACGGCCTCTTATTTATTCATTTATATTGTGATTTGTGACGTTTTGTCATTCTAAATCAGAGAACACAAAGGGCAACACCGTTATCAACGTATTATCAACCTATTTCTATATCTATTTTAGTACTTTTCATGGAATTTTTATTTTTATAAAGTTCTTATTGTATGACTTTGGTTTTATTATTTTGATCAACCCTGTTTGTTGTACTATCTGTCCTGACAACTGTGGAATATGACGTCAACCAATTCGTAAATCTTACTCTAAACAATTGGAAAGTTACGAATGACTTACGAAAGCGTACAAAAATGATCCATTCGCAACTTTACGAATTCGCAACTCATTCGTAACTTTTTAAATATTTACGAATTTACGAATTGCGAACGTTCGTTACTACGAACGGTACAAAAACGGACTCCAGATAAGTAGAAAAATACCAACTTGAGCAAGGCTTCAAATGACACTACAACCTTGAGAATTGGCCAGATTTATATACGAGTAGAAATTTTAGAAATGGGAATATCTGAGATTGAAAATACCTTGGATATGATATGAAATGATATTTTTATTTTACTTGATGTCCAATGTTTTAAATAAACCGATGATCAGGAAAATGTTTCCTCACTAGAAGACACGGACTGGGTATTGTGGATGGGTAAGGTAATCTTGGTAAATATTTTAATATGTTTTCATGTAAACTTTTATACTTAAAATCTTGAGTAATGGTAATTAATCTGTGATCTATTTCTTTCCATTGGTTTAACTACACGTTTATTTTTAGAAAGTAAACATTTGCACCCGGGCATTTGCACTGGTACTTTCTTAAAATGAATGTTGTGACTGTGAAAACAAATATCTTTTAAAAAGTAAAAAACACATGTTTTGAGTTAACAGGCGTTCTTTAAATAGTCTATTAATAATGAATTACAGACGCAGATGTTGCAAAGGCATTCGCTTTACCACTTAGCCTATTGTGAAATAAAGTCGAATAGCCGGTGTCAGCCATAGCCTTGTATCAGAAAAGTTCAAGAGCAGCAACGTCACTGGTGATCCACTCGATTACGCTGGTTACCGAAACGGTTCGTTTTGGTAACAAAATGTCGGAACGTCGGAGGTACGATTTTTCTTTTTTCCTTATTTCACGCGTTGTAGGCAGAATCCCCACAACGTTTTTTCTCACAAACGTGTATCAGTATCATATGTTTTAGAAAATGTACATGTTTGCGAAAAAATAGCTCAAAAGACAACAGAATCGTCGATTTCAATTCCTCACTTAAGTTACATAAACGGTTTGGGTTAAAAGTGCAGATCTTAACTGTTTTTCGAAATACCGTTTATGTAACTTAAGTGAGGAATTAAATCGACAATTCTGTTGTCTTCTGAACTATTTGTTCGCAAATATGTACATTTTCTTAAACATATGATACTGATACACGTTTGTGTTAAAAATGTCTTGGGAATTCTGCCTACAACGCGTGAAATGAGGAAAAGAGAAAAATCGTACTTTCGATGTTCCGACATTTTGTTACCAAAACGAATCGTTTTGGTAACCAGCGTAATCGAGTGGATCACCAGTGAACGTCTGTGGTCAGAGTGAACAAAATGTAAACATGCTTCAATTAAAACCTTTTAAAACTTATTTTATAAAGCCAGCAAAGACATACTCTTTGCTTCGTCTTCAACTACAAAGGCATAAAATTAGGGATGTATTCATTGCAGGTCGTGTATATACCCCCGTTGCTAGATTTATTGCAATACATTGACTTCTGCACGTTGGTGACGTTGCACCTTTTAAAAAATAGATCTCATATCTAAGCCTCATCGGGAGGTATCGTGATACAATCTACGAAGATCTACGACCGTGTAACAGTATGCCTGTCTAGATCGATGTCTTTGTGTCATTGATAAAACACAAAGTGGTGTCTTAGTTTCCAAAGCAATGAACTAAAACTGCGAATTTATCGTTTAGTGATGATGCTAGAAAAGGTATGACATTCTTTCGAAATTGCTTATACATGTAATAACTATTTAAAAACGTCCCAATAAATGAGACAATACAAACCTAGAAAAAACCAAAATACTGCAGATTTTATAATATGTTTTACGCTCATGTAACAAGTAAAGTACATCTGAGCAGCTTTACCCCCCTAGAATAATATTTCAGGGGGGTACTATATTATCATTCTATAAAATCAGTTATGCATTAACTATAGCACTGATTTATACATATTATGTTGCTAGCACTGTAGCCAAGTGTTTCCCAAAGTTATAGGGAGATAACACAATTTATAGTAATAAATAAGCATATTTTCATTCGTTTTTTAGTCTCGCCAACTTTATTGTTGCAGCTTCAGAGAAATAATTGGCACCAATACTGCTTTAAGAAGTAATCTAAAATTATTTCCAATCTATGTGGGGAATTGTAATATAAAGAATGTAATGATACAATACTATTTGGAATTTTAAATATGGCTTTGTTGACCCCTACCCCTTAGAAATATAAGAAAGTGAAGGTGGCACAATTAGATCAGAAATTCTATAATAAGTACTAATACTTCTCCAAGTAGCATTTTAAAAATGTATGTGTGATATATAGAGGTAATTTAATGGGAGGGATTGAATATGAATTTTATTCTGAGGGAAAATATGATATTGGCCAAGGAAAACATCATATTGACTGAGGGCAATAGCCCGAGTGTTAATATTGTTACGCGGTATATGGCATACATTCATGGTTGCGCGGTATTTGTGATACGGGTGAATATGCCATACTCACCTGCGGTATATGGCATATTCCGCAGGTGAGTATGCAATATTCCACAATGAATATGCCATACATTGATTTTCCTGAATACCCGATACTCCCCTGCGGAATATGTCATACTCACTTGCAGAATATGGCATATACCGCATGTGAATATGACATATACTGCAGTTGAAAACTTGATACAGAAAGCCTTGATTTGATTGGTTGCGAGAATCGACTCTAAATGTAAAACTACGCTGGATTACCAATATAGTTAGTGCGTCGAGTACTAAAATATGAATCCTGGATTGATTGAGTAAGTTTATTACGTGAAATTGGTGACTGTTACTTCTGCTAAGTTAATATATTCGATACACAGTACTGTTGA